TATTGTGAAACGATAAGAGATATACGCAAAAGTATTTTTAAGATTGGCGCGCTGTCAGTGTTTTTTAACCATTTGGTTTTCGACAATACTCTTCAAACTTAGTTCTCCTATTTGGATTTATCTTCAACATTGTAATTGCATTCACATGCCGACAGAATTCGTTTATCATAATTTGACTTACAGAAGTGATTTTTCGATTGATCAATTCGATATCTCCTACCAATCACCAGTATAATTTATCGCGTTTTAATTCAATTGTTCAAATATATATAGAAATTTGTTCTTCTCTCTCTCTGTTACATTTTACTTTATTTCCATGTTGCTGTTTGTGTTATTAAAACTACTAACTATCTTCTCTTCAGTCCGCTAGTAGATCGTCTATGAAAACTGGTTTTTCATTTCACACACTTATTTCTACTATTTTTTATACTCCTCTGTTAGAAAAACTGTTGAGATTAATGATTTTCATTGGAAAAGATTTACTTATGATAACTTAGAACATTTGTTACGAGACTCCTTCAAGTTCACTATCACTGATTCAAGTATAATTAATAATCTTGTTTCATCGGACTGTCTTTGGTTACGGCCAAACTACAAAACTACACGAAATTAGACGATATAACTAGCCGTAACGGCTTCAGTGCACCTTCAAATATGGAGAGACGTGATTTTCATTCAAATCGGATGATTTTGTAAGACAGACGAAATATTTTTCCAATTATAGATAAAAAATTCTGTTGCAATAGAAACGTGCCGGTCGAAACGGTTAAGCGTCATCTTAATGAATCCGAGTACATTGTGAAGAGAAACACTTTCCTTCCAATGATACATATTTATATACAAAGAAATAGATTGACACAGTTGTTCGCATAAACTGAGTCAATCGATGGAGAATCAAATGGACGTCATGAAATGCAACGCAAAACCAATTGAATTTGTTTTTAATCTAGAAAAATAAATTATTCACAGTTCTAGCTGAAGAATAGCATACAATACCAAGTGTACAATTAGTCACATAATAGTGATTACACCATTAATGAAAGGCATTATGAGATGTAGTGTTGAACAGATGTTATTATAAGCTGGTACCAGAATTATCTTGTTAAATTAACTCAAAAAAAGCAAAGTGTTCATTTTATTTTCCACAGCAAAACAAAATTAGTGTTTATTTCAAATATTGGAAAGTTTTTTAAATTCTCATTCTGTCAGATATACTTCCTATTCAAAATACTGGACAACACGCTCATTGATTCTATAGTGTACTCAATTTCAATTATACAAAAACACGACAATTTCCATACCCTGACCTGAAATATTACTTTAACTGTTAGATTACATCAAAAACTTGTACTAATTGAGAGTTAGTTTATGATTAACGGTAAATAATGATTAGACTGTACAAAATTCTATTTGATATTAGAAGTTAAATATTGGTAGCTAAAAATAAAAGATGTTGCCGTCGGCGATTACGTGATGAATTCGAAGTTTTGAACCGAATAGGACGAAATGTTAGTGATGGATGTGTTGCCATTGATATTTCATCATCAATACTGTTTTCTTTAGCATCATCTTCATCTGCATCGTATTTAAAGTCGTATTGTCGAACATTTTCAGTTTTCTTAAACATAATTTTTCGAGGAAGATCTTGTCGCCAGTTGAACGTTCTGTGTGAAGATACCCACTGACTATTTTCAAGAAATTTCATCCACTGTTGTTCGAGAATGTGCTTGATGATTTCGAAATGTGATGGATCTTCAACGGAAATCATCACCCAAAGACCATAGATGGCTTGAATTGCTTCAGCATATGTTGAGCATCTTGTCACTAGAAGGTATCGCACTTGAGTAAGATCGCATAACAGTGTTTTGGATGTCGTTGGCGTAATGAATTCAAAGCGAGCGTTTTGAATATGTTGAATTAAATCTTGAATATTGTCTTGTCGGGCGATAAATCCATTGGATAGTTTCGTTTCTTCTTGTGAATCGAGTAACGTGGGGAAAGGTAATCGTAGAAAATGCTTGGTTTTGAATGGAGTAAGTGACTTTTCAAGCGAAACGTATTGTTCCAATTCATATTGGAGACATATCAGACGTAAAGTATCAAAAATCGTTGTTCTTGTTGAATAGCATTTTGTTATCGAAGATAGAACATCATTTTGTTTCCCAAAGCATGAACAACAACGTTTTGGAAGGTTTTGTATTGTCTGATGAGAAAATTCTTTCAAATGTCGCAGTTGATTGACAGCAGCATGAAATTTGTTGGAGAAGTGTTGGTGATGCACAAAACATATCATAATGAAGACGACTTAGTGAAATGTGTTCTCATCGATGGTATCTGTCTCCTCTTATAGTCGCTGAAATCCGTGAGGGGGAATGTCGAAATATGACATGTGTCGTGCGAAATCTGTGAAATATTTCATAATAGACAAAAGAAAGGAAAACAAAACGATTGTTTTTCTTCATGAATCATCAGAAGAAAAAGACCATTGTGGTTTCGTGATGCAATTTTCCCTGTTGTGTCATATCAGATAAGATATTTCTCACTATGCAAAAGGCAGATGAGTTAAGAATGAGATATTTTGTACAATGATATTTTTTGAAAATGAAACAAAAACAAATCATTATTGTCTTGAAGTACGAAACGAGTAACAATGGTATGTAAAAATAGTCGATAGAATGAAAATCGTCTTTTATGTAGTTCTTTCTGTTTCATTTGTATTTGTCGCTAATGGTGATGATGTTGATACTTGTTCGGTTGTGTCTTTCTTCATCGTTAATTTCTTTAATACATCATAGTTAATTTTGCTGGATACACGTTTATCTTGAGAATGTTTTTCAGCTTCTAATGCAGCTGCAGCTAAGCCAGCTGGTGTCAACGTAAAACCACCAAGTTGGTGCTGAGTACCGACAGCAGAGCTACCGGATTTAGTTAAATCATTTGTTGTTGCCGCTGCTTTCTTCTTGCGTTTGCGTCGTTGTGCAGCTGTCATTGCACTTGAACCTGTTTTCTTTTGCTCAGCGGCTTCTTTATTACGCTGACGACGTTTCTCTTCTAAGAACCAGTCCTTATTTTCACGTAACCATGATTTCAGCTTCAATTTCGTTTCATCACGTGTTAAAATCATTTCTTCAATTTCATTATCGTCAATACCGGTTAAATCAAGTTCATCATTGGTTAAATCAACTGATGGATGCCATTCAGGAAGATCTAATACAACGTGGTGCTGACGGATCGCATTACTCGATGTACTTGCTTGAGGATTGTCTGCTGAATAATTCAATGATGATTTCACTGGAACGATGCCCATTGTTTCTAGAGATGGTCGGAGGGACTTGTAATCTTCTTCTTCTTCTTCTTCATCTGGTTCGTTCTGTTCACTGTTATTGTTTATTGATTTATTATTGCCGTCATTCAATAAAGAGAGAATCAATTGTGTTTGCTGCTCTTCGATGTAATTAGCTGCCCATTTCATATCATTCTCATCGGTGGGTACAGTTTCTGTTTCAGTTGTTAATAATTCCGACGTACTATCAGTATCGTCATCATCGGATTTGACAGTATTCTTTCGTTTATTGGATTTCGTTGTCAATACTTTGTGAATTAATTCATCCTCTTCGTTACTTAAAACATTTTTTTCCATATCGATATATTTTGCATACCTAATATCGAACAAAATGCATTCAGTATGAAACGAATTCAAATTGAAAAAAGGTTCTCACTTAGCCAATTGGCCACGTGGTTTATGCAATTTTTCCAACTGTTCATCAATTTGTTGTTGTGTATCGAGAATTTCTCGTTCGATTTGTTCAATGTTAAATGATTCTTCATGTTGAGCAAGTTTTGTCATACGTTTTGCTTTTGAAAATGCCGGTGGGTCCTGTTCTTCTTCAAGTTCAATCGTATCGAATTCTTGCAAATTCAGTTGTGCTGTTGGTGTTACTTCAAATTCTTGTAAACGGCGAATAATCGTTGCTTTAGAAATTTTCACAACATCAACAATTTGTTGAATGGTTCGATTGAAATTATGCATTCGTGCAGCAAATAATAAAGCGGAACCACAAAGACCTGAAGAACGTCGACCAATATTCAACCAATCACGTTTCATACGTTGAACAATACGTAGTGCAGTATTAGAAACAGCATTTGTTCGATCACCGAAATCCAGCTTGGCCGCGTACCGTGGAATAAGAAGTGACGGGTCGGTATGTGGTACATTAATACATAATTCTCGAGCTAACCGTAAGTAGATACGTGCCAAAATACTGATATCTGCATCGACGTGATCACAAAAATCCAATAAAATATGTTGTGTGCCTTCCGTACGACAGATAATATACAAACATGCAGAAAGAAGATGACTGGCTTTGTTTCCTCGAGAGAGACCACGATCTAATGCCATTTTATAAATCTAGATGTCAACAAAAACAAAGGTAGTTGATAAAACCAGAAAATCCCATCTGATTTTACTTTGAATGCGGCATCAACACAATGTTGATTCATTCGCATGCTACCAGCAATATCCATAATACCACGTCGAGCTTTTTGCAATGTAATTTGTCGAGATTCGCGAGCATTAAAGCCCATCATACCACCACCACCGCTCGATCCTCGTAGATCATCGTTCGAAACCCATTGTCCGACAACTTGTATACCACCGCCACTCGTTTCCGTTAATTCCGCTTCATTAACAATGCATGTATCTTCGATAACTTCTGCACATTTTTTACATACGCTAACACCTCGTGCACGATCGATATCGATCTCAGTTCCACCGCATTTACACGCTTTTGACGACATATCTGAAAAAGAAAAACAAACGGTGCGTATGATGAAACATTTATCAAGTGACTATATTTGTTATGGTGCAATAACATTTTTTCTTTTTCGTTCTTTACATCATTGAATGACGTCATAGAAAAATTTCTCTACGGTTACAACGTGATTGTTTTTACTTTATTTTCTTTGTACAAAACAAAAACAAATAACAAAAATAAGTCGAATCACTCATCATCATGAAAATCATCCTGTTCATTATCTTCCACCTCTTTTGGTTCTTTAACATCAAAATCTTCACCATACTGCATACATAAATCGATTTCTACTAACAGATCTGTGATCGAATCTTCTTTACTCATGTCTAATGTATAAAATTTCACTAGACTATAATCGTATATCACACTTGCTATGGCTTTGTTTAGTTGACCGTATCTTCCGAGAAAACTATTCGATATTTCACTGCTTGCCAGTTGATATACATCAGGATCGACAAATCTAAATCAAAAGAAAGTTCATATCAAAACAAATTTTTATTGGAGTTTTCCGTACTTTTTCAAACGTTTCTTATCGCGTTTGGAAAGAAGATCAACTTTCGATAAAACATGAATAAACGGAATTTCTAGTTGAATCATAGAAGATAATGCTGTTAACATTCCACTTAAAAATTTCGATTGTTCAACACAAAATTGCGCATCGACAAGAAATACACCACAAACACGAAAATTCCAATTTTGTAATTGGTTTACTACACGGCGCATAATAGGCACATGAGTATATAATTCAATTTGACCTAAAGATCAGCATTTTCAAAACAAAAACACAATTACTTTGAAAAGAATCAACGAACCGGGGCAATCAAATAGAAAGTAATCATCCTCGCCATCACCTAACTGTTCTTGTAACCATTCGAGATTTCTTTCAAAGTATCTAGAAAAAATTAATTCTCATCAACATCCCCTGTTAATGATCGAATAACATACTCCATACAGAAAATAAGACCACCATTTGGACCAAATCGTAATGCTTGGTCATCCATAGCGTCATCAATTTCAATCAATTCTCGTACATCTAAATATCGATCGAGATTTTTCGAAATATAAAACGTTTGATTTTAGCATTTACCAGCGAACACCGGATAATCGAAATGTTCTGCTGCTGGATCAAGATTAACAACATTAATTGTTCGTTTAACAACTTCACCGTGTTTTACCATCGAACTACAATAGGTCGATTTTCCTGAACCGGCTGGTCCCTATAAACACAATCTCGCTTAAATCCAACCAGGAGCATCTCGATTCGAGCTTACTAAGACCAATTGTGCATATCGAGGCATATCGAAAATGAAATCTGAAATTGAAAAAGAAAACAACACGATTTTATACGTCTAAAATAAAAAAAAACCATCCGACTTATCTGTAGACGTAATTATTATTAGCGACATTCACACACACGCACGCACAAAATGACTATATGTATACATATCAGTGTTGTACAATGTATAAAACAATGTCTGACAAGAGATGAGATGATTATGTTTGCACAAAAGAAAGCAAGCAAGCAAGCCAATAAGAAAAGAACAAAGATAGTTGAGATCTAGCACCACAGAGACAATATTTAAAAAAAGAAACTATATCAGCGAATTCCTGAGAGAGTTGTAAATCTAACATTGAAAATCTTTCTTCATTAGATTGCCGAGTTGATTGCGTACATCTTCGAGGACATCAGCTGGATTGGCATCAATTTCATCAGACGAAATTTCTTTTGTATAATTATTCAATATCGGACGATTTGGACTACGAAATGGCGATTTGTCTAATGGTGGAAAACAAGTAAGTACTTCAATTAAGATATGCAGAGAAATACTTACATTGAGCATTTGCCGGTAAAATAGTTCCTTGTTGTTTAGTGGAAATTGTCGGTGGTGGAATAATTGGTGGAGCAACAGGAACGGTGAAACTACGTAGATTCGGTTTGGCTGTAAGTAGAAGTGCACGTTGACTGTCGGAATGTTCATTAGCATTATTTGTATTGGAGACTTTATCGTAGACAACAGCTCCTTGAAAAGAATTTGATTGAATCGATGGTGGATTATGATTTGAACTGCAGTGACTGTTGGATGGGGAATGTTGGTAGTCGGGTGATGATGGACCTACAATGAAAAAGTAGTAGATAAACGAAAATAGTAATCTTTGTTTGTTCGAACGGATCTTACCTGATCCAATTGAATGGGATTGATCAGTAGGTCGCACAATATATTGAGCTTTTTGTTGAATAGGTCGAACAGTGACATGCTGTTGTTGTTGAACTATATTCGTATGATTCATGATATATGCTGTACCCATTGCTAAAAACAAATGCAATATGTGTTTCGTTCAATTTATAGAATGAATGTGATGACTTACGTAGATTCTTCATTGCCTTCTTTTGTGTTTGTTGATCAAATGATCCGCCAACGGCAATAGGCCTTGAACGGACACTAGCATTAAATTTTCCGTTCAATGTAAATCCACTTGTATTTCCATCAATCGAACTTGAACCATCATTTGAAGGTACAAATGAATGTCGTTGTTGATCCACATTCGATTCCAGATTATTTGTCAGTGGTTGTGTTTCTTGATTGTGAAGATACAGAGGATGATGATGATGATGGTTACATCGTTGTAGTGTTCCACTACCCGCTGTTGACGATGTTTCATAGTGTCTCTCTCCAACATTTGAATTCCGAATTGTTGCTGTTGGTGGTGAAAGACAATCCGCTCCAGCCCAAAGATCAGTTGGTTTAATAAGTGACGACGATGCTGTGTTACTTGTCGGAGAATATTGCCGTTGATGGAGATGTGTTGGAGAATCGTGAATTTGCTTTTTATCATTTGACACACAAAAACAGCATTGTGTTCGAGAACAAATCATAATACCAGTGATAAATACGCATAAACAGATGATACTGATTACAATCAGAATGATCAGCCACGAATTATTTGATAATCCCAATGATGGCCAGCCGAATATATTTTGAACTAAATCGGAAATTAAGTCAACATTCAAATCATTCAATATACTTACCTTTGTTCGCTTCAACATTCTTTGTATCTACAACTAAAACGAAAAGTTCAATTGAGAAAGCAAATGATAGGAATAGAAATTCGTTTTACCATTCGGAGTTTTATACAATCTTGTTTCCGGTGTTGATTCGTCATTAAATTGATTAGCTGAAACAATTCTAAACAAATATTTTGTATTCGGTTTTAAGTTTGAAATTGTCGTTTGCGTAGAATCAGCAGGTACGATAACTTTCTGTTCCGGTCCACTTTCTCCTTGTTCATTATAATAAATAATAAATGATTTAATTCCACTTGTATCTTCCGGTATTTGCCATGTTAATGTTACCTTTGACGGATCATTGTTCGTTATCATATTTAACTGTTTTATCGGATAAATCGCATTCGAATACTCAATTGATAACGAATAATCACTTTCGAGATCACCATCAATTGCCTTCACAGCAAATTCATAGTTTGTTAACGGTTTTAAGTTTTCAATCAGATGTGATTGTTCGTTATTGGTCAAGATTTCTTGTTGTTTTACAATTTGTTGATTCAGATCTAATTCGTGTACTTGAATCTTATAACGACGTGATGATGGCAGACGACTGGACTTTGGATAATCGACATCAGTCCATTGTAAAAGAACGGATGTTTTCGAACGAGGAATGAGATTTAGTTCTAATGGCGTTTTCGGCGGTTGACGATCATCATCTCAATGAAGAAAAACAAATGTTTACTTTTGGAGGTTCTATCTTAGGATTTATTACCTTCGGATGGCATTTGAAAATCATAGAATTGTTCGGGAATGACGGTATCATTATTTTCGTTCAGTGCAATCAATGAGAAAATATATTTTTGATTTGGTTCTAAACAAAAACGTGCAACTTATTTGAATAACAATCGATGCGATTCGTTCGTTTTCTTACCAAGTTTATCAATAAATAATGAAGTTTGATTTTTGTTTATATAAATCGTATGTTGATATGGAAAATTGATTCCATATTGCAAACGAAAACGTTTGATACTCTCGTCATTGATTGTTGCTGGATGAAGTGTCATGACAATTGAATGACTAGTGGCATTCATTTCAATTTTAGGCAAACGATCGCGAACAGACGGATCGCTTCGACTGGAGAGAACATGTCCTGATGTGCTGCTGGCGATTGCATTGAACGATAAGATCGTAAACAGGAAAAAGAAGACACTAACCGTCGCCATCCATATAATGACGCTCGTTCGTTTTCTTATCTGAAATGAAAGATGGGCAAATGGATGTTTTACTTCATCACAATAATAATAATAATAAAAAAACAAAAGAAAAAGAAAAGGGCGAATAACAACAATTTCTGGATTTTTAGAACTGATTGTTCATGAAAGAGAATTGAAAAATTTGGTTTATTCTTTCTCAGCAATTCGTGTTAAGTGTTGTTCGACTTCGCTTTCTGTCAAGACTCTAAAAGCAAAGATTAACAATGATTCCTTTCGTTCAACAAGTGAGAATTAATGAAAACAAACCGAAATTTCACATTATCTTTTGTTACAACACCAATTTCGATTTCGTTCGGTTTCAAATCAGTTGAAAGTACACTAGCTAATGTTGAAATCGCCAATTCAATCGCTTCTTCGAAATTTAAATCAGCTTTTTTCTTAATACGTTTTTCCAAGAAATTATTTGCTTCAGTTTGTTTGACACCCGCACTAGTTGCGCGAAATCCACAAAAATAACCAGCTGGATCGGTTTTGTATAACATTGGACCTTTCTCTTCATCCATACCAAACAAAATCATGCCTAAACATCAAACAAGAACTTTCTCAACAAGCAATAAGTCATATTCTTACAGCAACCAAGTGGTCGCATTTCAGCTTCTTGTGTGTAAACTTGTGAAATATCAGCAACACGACGACAGATAGCATCCACCGGAATATCAAATCCATATTTATATTTCCACGAAGCAGCTTCGTATCGAGCACGTTGAACTTGCCAACGGGAATCGGCTAGACAATACCAAAAATGACAAGTCATTGAAAACAACATCAAGAAACGAAGTATGAATACATACCAACCATGCCTGTCATTAAACATCCAATAGTTGGTGTGATTGCATGTAGATGAGTAACAGACGAAGGATCAAGAAGTTTATCCTATATGACGAGAGACATCAAACAAGTTATTGAAGTTAGATTCAACGGAAATCTTATCGATATAATTGTTTAGAAAGGCAATTCACCTTCGTTATGTTGTCACCAACGAAAAGCATAATTTTAGAAAGAATGTCTCATGGGAATATATGACCATCAAACTGATCCCATTGCATGGTATCCATTAGAAGAAGAAAAAACGGAATTAGTTCATATCCCTTGAGATGGTCAGCTTCGATCAACATTATCTCTTTTAAATTCAATAAAGAAAATTGACTAACCGGAATTTTTTTTTGAGCAATGGCAACTACACAGTCAGTACCACGTATAGCTACTGTTGTTAAACCACCTTGATTGATTGCTTTAAAAGCATATTCTAAAGGAAGACCGGTCGCAGAAAAGTTTCTATGATTCAAAAAATACCCTACCAACTTGATAGAGTCGACCTTCTGGTGAAAAGATGGTAATATCACGATCAAAACCGGCTGATGCAGTTCGACTCATTGTTTGATAAAAATTGAACTAAATTATTCTATCAAATCTAGAAATATATATATTTCTATATACACACATAAACAAAAGAAGAACGTTTTTTAATAATTGTCTGTGTCATCATAATTAACAACATGACGTTTGTTTTCATGAGAATTCGATTGTACAAATTTTGGTGTCGAACTTGGACTAACAAATGGAACAGCTTGAAATTGATTCGTTTGATTTGCTATTGACGGTGACGCATTCGGTGTTAAACCAGTTTTTTTAATCGGTCGTTCTTGACCTGAATTCGACGCTGCACGTTTGAACCCTTGATCCTTACTCTGTGCTTGAACTTTAATAGCACCACTTTGAACAAGTCTTTTTGCTGCTTCTTTTGCTTGCTCAGGATTTCTTATGGCATCTTTTGAATGCCGTGATGAATCATTAGAACTTGTTAGACTCGCTGTTATTCCTCCTGCTGTATTTGTTAAACGTTTTGTCGACGATTTGTTTTGTGCAATTTCTTTCTTCCGTTTTTTATATTCATTAAATTCGGCAACACATGCATCTTCAATTGGTGATAAGGTTGATGGTAATACAAAACGACAAAGGGTCGACATTTAAATAGGATGATTGAGCAAGTAATTGATCAACGACCGATGAATGTCTTATATATGAAAATGAACCAATAGAAAACGACTTTGCCATTGTCCAAGTTGTTTTCTTAATCAAAGAGAAACGGAAAGATGTCGGTAATAAATTCGTTTCGAAAAAAACACCGTTCATAACGGGAGAAATTCTTAATTTTCAACTCAATTTTTCTGACTTTGGCCAAGAAAATAACTACAAGCCATATGCAGATTGAAATTTGATTGGCTATGGAAAAAAAGTATGCGTGTTCGTTGGTAAAATTATGAGCTTGTCTTCGTCGTACCTTTTTTTCTAATTGCCATAGCATTTCCATCACTGTCTTAGATTTAAAAATGAATATAACTCGAGTCTTTGCATTTCTAACCATCTTTGGTTTACTCTTTTTCACTACTATAGGTAAGACGAGTTGAACACATATCGATTTTCGATTGAAAATTTGTTTTTCTTTTAGTCGTTCATGGTGAAGAAGACATTGTGGACGCTGATGTTGCTGTAGATGAAGAAGATGAACCTAGCTCACGCACAGATGATATCGTTACACCACCAAATGACACTCTCGTAGGAGAAAAAGATGATATTGAGGAGGGAATGAAAATTGAGTTGTTTTTTTTTAAGGAAGGTAAAGAAGATGAAGATTCTACACGTATTCCATCATCACCAGATTTTCGTACAGTCAATGTTTTTATTCAACCAGCTAGAACAAATGGTAAGATTCTCTTTACACGTTCGATCAAGTCCGAATAAAATCTTCTTTTTTAGAATTAATTGCCGGTAAACTAACTCGTTTACTCGTCGGTGCTCGTAATAATGGCACACAAAGCTTTGTGGTGGAATCAATTGATGGTTCCTTACGTTATCCACAAGATTTTACTTATTACATCCAAAATTTCACATCATTACGATCAGACAAAGTTCTTGAACCTGGTCTCGAAGCTACATTTGAATATTTATTCATGCCCAGTGAAACCTTCAATGGCCGACCAATGGGTTTGGTTGTATTAATCAACTATCGAAATAACGTAAAAAAAAACAAATTGCTCTTGTGGTAAAGATACAATCGTGTTCCTTTAGGAAGGAAAACAATTTCAAAATGTTGTTTTCAATCAAACCATCAATCTTATCGATGCTGATGAAGGATTTGACGGAGAAACGTAAGATTCACTTGATTGAATCATTTTCTCGAAAATCCATTTGATTTTTCCTTTAGATTCTTTCTCTATGTCTTTCTCTTCGCCATTCTCGTTCTCTTAGGTTTCTTAGGATACCAATATTTGCTTTCAAATCGTGTTAAACGCATGAGTGGCAAACAAGGTTCACAAAGTCTTGTTGGAAACCAACAAACCAGAGGCAGCTATGATCCCGATTGGATTCCAAAACATCATCTTCCTCAAAGTAATGTTTGAAAGACAAAACTAATCAAATCTATTCGTTTTCGTCTAGATCGTTCACCAAAAAAAAGTCCACGTGAACGCAAATCTCGTCAAGCAAACAATGATGTTAATGGAACAGCCAGTGCCGGAGCTGTTTCAAGTGAAAATGATGAATAAAAAGATCAGTACATTCATATGTGTTCGCGTGTGTGTGTGTGTGTGAATGTGTTTGTATGAATAGAAAACAAACGTGTTTTATTTCTATTTGTTTTTCTTCTCTTTTTCGTTTTTATTCACATGAGAGATAAAACAAAAAAAAAGCCAAACTATGATATGATTGATTATATACATTTCTATAATTATTGTTGTTAACAATATAGGTGAGCGAGTAACACATGGAGAATAGAAACTGACCTGACGGTGGATTATTTATTGTTTTGTTTTTTCTTCTTCATGTATTCTTATCCTTCTTGTTGTTGTTTGTAGTTGTTGATTGTCTTTATTTTTATGTTTTCTCAAAAGGAAAATAAACTTACTTCGAAGGAAATCTTCAATCTGTACACAGAATGAATAACCGACAAAGATGACGAATAAACTGTTATGTTTGTTTGTTCTTTTTGTATACCCTCGCGGTGCTTTATTCTGTACAAATATTCTTTTTATAGAATATGATGTACGAAATGATAATAAAGATAAACTTTATAGTCTTTCATTGTGCCTAGATGTGAAATATATGCGTCATCGTTTACTTCTATTTAAAAACATACCGACCAAGCGACAAGTACGTCTAGCTGTGACTTTGTGTTTGATATACAATTGATTCTTTCAGATGGCATCGTTGGCTAATACGGTAGTTGATATCAAAGTTGGAACAGAACCCGAAGAGTCAAATCCTGCTGCATTTATTCCTCCATCGATGGTGCCATTTATTGAAAATGAGAAATTGAATTTAAAACAAATCGCGAGTAATTTTCTACCGAGACACTTCGAATTTCGAACAAAAGAGCGCGAGAAGAAAATCCACGTTGTTCAGCTGATGTCAGAATACGATGGAAATTTTTCCACACCTGTTTGTTATCTGTAAAAAAATCTTCTCAAATAATTCTCAATACTTATTCATTGATCTATTTAGAAACTTTTATTTAAAACGCGCAGGAAAATTCATTCAATTTGCTGAAGAATTAGGACCGGTGTGTACTTTGGTTTGCTGAATAATGAAAAAGAATAAAAGAAATTTTTTAGTTAACCGGTAATGAAGAAGTTCATCGACTTAATTGTACTCGAATTTATAAAGATTTCCTACAACGTTATACTGATCTCATCGGTGCTATTCAAACTCATGAATCGACATGTAATGGTGAGATTTATTCGTTCTTATTCTTTCACTCAAAATAAGTTGATTTAAGGACGTTTATTTCGTCGTTCAATTGAACGTATGCAACCGGAAATTGCACATGTTCCGATGAATTTACATCTTCAACAATTATTAGTTAGCAATGATGAAGATCCTTCTCAAAGTAATCCAATCGCACGTTTTCTTTCCTTTCGTGTATTCAATTTTCTCTTTCAGAAGCTATTTATAATACAGTAACATTAGGTGCACCCGCTGTTCATCATTCTCGTTTTGCGACCGGTGGCCTAGCACGAATGAAAGCAAATATTAGCGAAAAAAACAAACGTCTATGTTTTCTACAAGATAAATTACAAGATGTTTTAGTCCTGAATAGTGATATTGACGATGCATTAGATCATTTAACACATATTCTTGACAGTCCTTCGACGAATATCGATCGTTCTGTATTGAAACTGTCGCTTCAACGAGTTGTCAAAGCTGTATGTTTATCATTATTAATCGATCTTGCAAGAATTTTGTTGATAATTAGGTTTTTTCTTTACTTGAATATTCAACTAAAGATCTCGATAGCATAGCGAATTCAACTGGACAAGTTGTTATCAATCCATTGATATCAAAAGTACCTAGTGAAGAAGTTTTGGAATCCTCGGTATGCTTGATGTATTTCGATAAACTCCAATAATTGCACGTTTGTTGAAGGAAACGATACAAAGCAAAGCACGAAAATTTCTAGAAGAAATTAAACAATCGATTAATAAAAATGAACAAACATTTAATATGGCACAATTAAATAGTTTGAAAACGGTCGCCAGTGAACTGGAGCGGCATACTTGTAAACATATTATTCGTTATATATTCCAAGAAAGTCAAGAAATAGAACGTTATCCTGAAGCATTTCGAGAACGTTTTGACATTGCCTTTTCTCAAGCGGTAATTAGAACACGAAAAAAGAAAATACGCCTGAAATTTTCATCACTTTAATCATTGTTATTGTTTTGATTTCGTATTTTTCTTTAGTTAACATGTCTTATATTCTCGGTGTATGTTCTCCTATCGTCTGTTAAAATTAGTGATCAAGCTTGGAAGCTCTACATTAATAATGGTGAGTATATAAGATTAGGAGAGACGAGAGAAGAAAAAAGTCGAGATGTATTGTTATTCTTTCATACATAACTGTTGGCAATAGTTTTTCAATGTGATTACTAACACTTCATTTCATCATTCGATATTTCGTACGAGCCTACGTGTTTAAACATAAAACTACTATGCTTCCGGTATTGAATTCCTTGGATCAACTTTTGAATCGATTTGACCAATTATCTCAACAACATGCAGGTTTTAAATTGAATTTCGAGAAGAATTTCAGTGACATTGACAATCCGTTACGTGATGTCGCACGACATGAAAACGAACAAAAGAAAACAGTCGATAATCTGTCTACATCGAACATGAGAAAAGATGAGAAGAGACGGTCATCAGGTACTATGGAAGATTTTCACAGACGAATCATCAAAAACCGATATCATCATCGACCGCCAAGTTACTGCTCGAATGAAAACGGTTCATTTCTATCTCGTACTCCATCGAGAACTTCTTTGGATTCCACTCAACAGTTGTACACACCAGCCTTATCATTGATACAAACAACGATCACAACAAACACTCTTTCGTCGATTGTACCAACATCGTTCGATCATCGTAAGAAACAAAAGAGTCAATCAACAACGAAAATTGCACCAAAAGTTCACTCTGTACCACGGATGCGTCCACGCACTCCAATAAGAGCGTTCTCAATGGAAACTGTTGATCGACTTTCACAACCAAAACTGTACCATTTGTCATCGGATGAAATAGTATCTTCAAAACGTGCACGGCGACGACCAAAACCACATCAAAATACCATCAAAGAAGTACCCAAATTGCAAATGTCATCAATCAAATTGCCTCCTGTTCGGTTGCCACCACCCCCGCCACCCACGACACCCATGTCATTTCAAACTAAACGAACAAGTCCTATCACAATCAAACCCCTACCGAAAAAACTTAAAACTGAGACTAGCTTTTCAAGAAGGACTTCTCAAAGGCCTCCTACAATCAATTGTTCGCGATCAAATCTCCCTCTGACAATACCACCACCAATCTGTCTTAACTTCCCCATGCAGCCTGAATTGAATCCATCTCGAATTGTCATTGTACTGAAAACAGCAGCACCCAGAAAACCTCTTACTGTTTTTACCAACAGAAAAACGATCATTCCTTTCCAACGCATGAAATATTTAATGGCTTAATTTCCTTTTCTATCATAAATCGACTTGAGCATAGATATCGCTTCAGTTTTTTCTTCTACAGTTTATTAAATTCATTTATAGGAATGCTGATTTCTTTTGAATATCTTCTGACGTGTGATGGCGACGAGTTAGGTATGCTGGAAGATTCTGTCGAAGCTATTCACGCTTTAGAACGTGTTCATGTACGGTTTATTCCCGCAACGACAAGCAATGATGTACTGCAACCACGATTTTTTGGTACAAGATTTTACTGTAAAGTTGTTCTACCTCTACCTGCTCATATGTTCGCGAGACTACCGAAAGAACTCAAAGACGGCGGATCTGTTCGAATAGTACCTGTTGTTTTTAATGTTGGTATTAATGAACGAGCACTAGCTGCACGAGTACGATCGTAGGTAACCGAAAGAGTAAAAAGATATAATTCAATTTGGCTTTATAGAATGAATTTCTTCACAACATCACAAGTTGAAAGTGATCTCAATTATAACAATTTAGATAAACTGAAAACATACATCAACAAAAGTATCAATAATTTGCCTGGTAGTTACTGAAGATAAAATTACATTTTTGAACAATACACATAATCATTTCTTTACAGAAGATATACCAGATTTATTGAAACAGCTAGAACACACAATTCACTCGAACAAACCGAAAAACGTTAACATCTTCACACTTGCTGAGAAAGTAAACAGAAAATGATTATCGCTTCGAATTTTCTGCAAAAATATATTTTAGGTTTGTCGTCGTGCTTATGGTGTTCGAGTAACCGGCTGCAAAAGTGCAAAAGATCGCACTTCAATGGGTTTCACGCTAGAACAAGGACAGTTGCTTGTGAACAATCATCGTGTCGACAAACATGATTTACATGAGATAATCAATCAATTTCGACGCTACGGCACATCTATTGAAAATGCACTGGCGAATACAGGTGTCAAAGCATACGCTTTTTCATATTTACAATTGTTAACTTTTCCGGAATATTATCGTGCTCAGCAGGGTACATATGGAGATGTTCAAACATAATTTCGGCCAACAGACGAACAAAATTGTAGTTGTAAAATCTTTTTTTTAGTCGAAAGAAATATATTCAATTCTGCGTAGTTCTTGTATTCTGATTATGAGCATTCTATTTTATTGATGCTTTTTCCACTGATATAATTGACACTCATAACTAGTATTCTTTTGTGAGAGAGTGTGGATGTGACATACAGATCAAATGATTTCACTGCTGTAATAGTATTTTACTGTCTGTACTTTTAAAGACATGTTTTTTATGATCTGTCGATATCGTTGGCACATAAACGAATGTTTCCTAAGAACTTTTTTCTCTCAGAGACAATGTACGCCATCTTTTGTTCACATAACTCATCCGCTAAAATAGGCAACTATAAACTTCGTTTGTTTCTGCAACTGCAAGCTGTAAATTTAAGTTCTCTTCTTCATTTCAATCGTTTCATTTCCGTTCCAAAAAGAAACAGCTCGAATAAAATAAAATGCAAGAATATTTGAGTCGTCAGATGTGCTGAATACCAGTTATTCAGAAATATGGATTATATCGTAAAATAACAGCCGAAATATATTTCCTTTTGCCTTTCAGATTATACGCAAAGAACAGAACATTTATTTATATCCTCTAACACGGTTGAAAGCTCAAAATGAGAAGGTAGGGAAATATGATCTTGCTATGGCGCCGCTTAAGAGTTTATTTATAGTTTCAGATTTATACGGCTAATTGATGAAGAGAAAGAAAATGATGTTTTCCGTGTGCCGTTGGATCAGAATTTCCAATTATCCATGGAAACGTTCAAATCATTCTTTCCAAATACGCAGGTCGATCATTCCGACGACCGGATCCGTTGGAATCTGAGCCGGTTTCGGCATAATTCCAGTCGAATTCAGCAGGTTTCGGTCGGATTCGGCGAGTTCCTTGGCGGCGGATTCCGGTCGGAAGTTTCGAGGAAGTATCCGGCCAGTTCCTGGCCGTTTCCGATTCAAGGTTTGCAGGAAGTGGCCAGAAAATAATCGGAAACTATGTTTGAAATTCCGACCGGAATCCAGCGCCAAGGAAATCATCGGAAAGTACACTTAACCGATCGGAACCGACCGAGTCACAATGACCTGGGTAGGAGTGGCATATTTTACCGATACCAGAATTCGAATGAAAAATATGTGTAAGTAGCTAATGTATGTTACCTTTGGTAGCGTATGAAAGTCAGCGCTTTCTAGTAAAGCGGCATCGATTAACATCAATATGCGGATACTACAAGTAGACCTTGACTAGATCCATCCCTGATCTGTACAACATAGTCTAGTTTCTTCAAATAATCCTGTATAATTTATGTTTATCGGCTTACACAGCATCATCTATCCCATCTGCGCCAGATATCCGAGTGCACACTTTCCTTTATCTGCTAATACTCCGTTGTGAACATATATGCATAATAATGCATTATTAAAGAAGACATTTTAGACGGAGAGTAAAGCTTTTTTTGTATTTAATCACACATGATTGAAAGTAAGCACTTCTTTTAACAGATCAATTCTGTATGATAGTTCTATGTGTCCTTCAAGAACCGAAGGCGACATACATAAAACAGAAAATGATTCAGTTGATCAAACCATGTATGTCTAATAACACCATTTCATCGGACCACTAACTATATTTATCATAGATTCCAATCTGAAAACCAGACAAACAAAGATTTCCAACTGTTCTTAGTTTGCATAGCTCTAAAACTCGATTTTTCCTTTTCCTAAATGAGCCACTATCAGAAGAAAAGTCAACATTGATAGCAAGCACAAACAGACTCTTCGAAAACTGCGTGTTTTTTTATCATTCCATAAGTTATATTACAATGTTCATTGTTCATTTTTCAGAGTTCCAATCAGCGACCAGAATAAATTTCTTATTGACCAAAATGATTATGAACTTGATCTTTTGTACATCGCTTATCGTTCAAATCGTGAGTACCTTATTTACTGAATATGAAAGAACTGAAAACACATTTGCAACAAAGAAAGAATGTCTCATTTTTCGTATCATCGTTTTTATTCAGCGCATATGTCAATAAAAATCAGTCTCAGATTAACTGTCGATGTTTAGCTAAGAACTATTTCATTTTCAGTGAAGACTCTTCAATCAAGAACAAAGCGATAAGAAACGTCTTCGACGTCGAACATATTTTTATCTATACTGATCTATTTTTGAAAATTCTTTATTTATTGTCACTTTCATAAGTGAAAGATGAGGTGAGGTTGAATGGGAGCATCGATAGTCGTGCTCATATTTTAGCTGATAAAACGCTTCTCTTGAGAAAATCATATAATGTTACTTCTACTTGAGCTGTAATGTATCTTTGAGAAGTGAGCATCCGAAACAATTATTGAATTTCAATCATTTTCTTCATGAATATATTAGCCTAAGTAAAAAGTTCATTTGTATATACGAACGAGACCAGCTGTTCAATCGCTATCTTTAAGATTTGTTTGAGGGAAGATAATACTTTTCTCATATTCGTAGGACCAGTTGCGATTCAAGTGCAACCACCAAATCGAGATTCACCGTCATCAACAGTTCGGCCAACACGCAGTTTTTGGGATTATTTAAAACTTGTTGTTTGTAATTAACTATTTATTGATCGTATATTTCTTTTTTTTCGAAAGAGTGTTCATGAATTAGAAACTTGACTCGAAATGTGAAGACAGGCAATGATCGAAAAGTTCTTTCGACGTCTTTGATTGTGAGCAATTTCGACTGAATAATCGATGGAAATCTGTTGTTACTATTGATGACAAGGAAATTTACGAGACACCGAATAACATGTGAATCGATTGATTTGTTGGACAGCATGAATGATTTTTGTACGAAGCGTTGTGCAATTTCGACTTTGAATGTGAATCGACTCCGGGGTTGGTAGTTTTCCTCGTCAGAGTTGGAACAATGTTGATGCGAAACTTGGGATCCATAAGTGAAGTTTAAGTAAGAGTTTTGAAAATAGGAGCAGCGTTAAAAGCCAAGTTAGAACGTATGTCGATAAGATTGGAACTTTCGAAAACAGATACGGAATTCTACGAAGTTAGAGCGACATATGTTTCTAGTTGCACAGTATTGAGAAAAGTGTTTAGGAATTTTCGAGAGTGACATGTTATGGTAATGAACAGTCGTAAATTCCTACCGTCATGTAAAGTGTAAAGCAGAAAAATTATTTCCAACTTTCTACATACTGTTGTTCTTTAAAGCAAAAACATGTTTATCGCAGAAGAATCGTAAAATTTGATGTACTGCATAGAAAATGAATTGACTCGACTCATCTTTTAATTTTTAGATAGTTCCATCGTCGCTGGATGAATCCTACAAAAAACTGGAATGAAAATATGGTAAAGTATTTAGAAAAGGATTTATGCTTATGTGGAGTACTTCTGTTTGCTAGTGTTTATATTTTAACCACATGTGTTGCAGCTTTACTCAAACTTTATACGTATTACTTACTTTCATGTCGTTGTCATTATATATTTGTTCTCAATTTGATCGCGCTTCTTTTCCCACGCTGTATTAAAATATCTCTATTTAGATTTTGCATATCTGGATATGGTCTCTGTAATGACAAACTGGTTGAGTAGCTGACCGCTTCTCACGGTATAGATGTTTATTGACTACTCTACATGACCAGAATGTATCTCTTTCACAATACGACACGCACTTATATAGAGAAGAGGAAAGAGAGATATGACTCGGAGATAATATGATATAGAGGTGAGAGAATAAAGAATAGAAAGAGATGAGCGATATCATTATCGTTACAGTCTCAGTGACACTGTGACGCACGTCGAGGACCTAACGCCAGGACTTTGAGTGTAAAGGAAATTTCACAAGTTTTGGCCCTGTGTTTACTTGTTTTTCCTGTTTCTATAAAGCTTGTCGTGTACTGACTTTCGAAAGATATTATCCGAGGACTATACTCAGCTTTTCAAATAAAAAATATTGATGCTGTTGACATTTGTTTCACAAGAAAACTACATCAATCAAAATTGTGAAAAACATTCACAACACGCGTTTCGCCTGCTCCGTTTCTGTCTTGCAGTCGTCTAGTAGATTACACATCAATAGACATGTACCTGGTAATCAACATAATTTCGCCGCTATAGCAGTAACTGGTTGATTGAAAAATTACAAGCGCGGTCCTAGTAGTCCGATTTTTAGAAATTTTCAAAGATTTCCATCTGAGTATATAATAGACAGCAATCGAACTGTTCGGACAAATATTTGAAAAATATATAGAGAGTTGAATATCTTAGAGAATGGTGCCGCGAAAGGTCGTAGGAAAATTTAATTTAGGAACCTTGATCGGACATTTTCTAGGGGATAAAATGGTATAAATCCTCGTCACTGATAATCGATCATACGTCCTTTTCGGCTATCTATGCTTCTCGGCGACGAGAGTTACAACCGTTATATGAGCAATAATAGAAGACGAAAAAAAGAATACAAACAAAAGAAAGTACGTCTCTATTAAGATATGCGCAAAATGAAATATGATCTCTCCAAACAGCATATCGTTCAATAAGAAGAAAAAGAACATTATCTTCAGGCGAACCCAATTTATTCCATAACTTGAGTTTCACTGAACAAGTGTAATCATTGGTCAGGAGACTGAATAAGTATATGTGAGAAAACGAGTCGGTCGGTCCTTCTATTCCCGTGTCTAGTCTTACAACATCCGTCTATCCATCAGTGACATCTGTCTAGCAGCTGATTGATGCTTGCTCATTGCTCGTATTGGTATTTTGTCAATAATATCAACTAATAGTAATTTTATTCCTTCCATCTTATGAAAAAGCCAATCCAAGGTGATTACGAATGACAAAATAATACCGTCACTTTTTTTTGTTTTGAAGATTCTTTCTATCATACCAATCAAATGATTTATTTTTGAATGCAGCTCATCAAGGTATGAGTCCGATTTCACAGTCTACCATGAATAATTCGACTGGTAAGAATCTGATGTAATTCTTCGAAATATAGAAATTTTTGATTGTTTATTCTTTCAGAAATTCCACCTGATACGTCTCCTATGAAGATTGCCTCGTCGCCATCCTCATCTACAATGTTATCCAGTCCAAATCAAAAATATCATCAATCAAACGCGTTGCGTTCCCCTACTAATTTATTTGATTTTCAAAGTACAAACCTTTCATTGAATTACAAGGTTAATTTCTGTTATTGTTTGTCGTCTATCATAGCTGTTGCCGATCGCGCAAACCGTGATTATCAAAATGGAAATTATGAACGTGCTGAACAATATTGTCTTCAGTTGTATCAGCAAGAACCCGATAATACAAGTTTATTACTTCTACTTAGCTCGATTTACTTTCAAATGCGTCGTTATGATCAGTAAATCTACATTCGCATAGAATTCTTTGCACTGCGCATCGTCTTTTGTTTACAGATCAATGGAATATAGTTTATTAGCAACGAAACTTGATCCACATCTAGCTGAAGCTCATTCGAATCTAGCCAATGTATATAAAGAAAAAGGTCTTCTACATTTAGCACTTGATCATTATGTGAAAGCTCTACAATTGAAACCAGATTTTACTGATGGATAGTACGTTCAAAATACTCTTTTTGGATTATAGAAAATTGTGTTCTTTGATTTAGTATCAATTATGCTGCTGCGCTCATTGCCAATTCAGATATGGAAGGTGCTGTAAGTGCATATCTAACAGCATTGCAATACAATCCAGTAAATATTAGACGAAATGGTTGTACTGGAAATTAAACTGTATTTTCTAGGATTTATATGGTGTTCGAAATGATCTAGGAAATCTTTTAAAAGCACTCGGTTATTTAGAAGAAGCTAAAGTAAATATCAAAAACAGAAGAGAAGAAACTCGAAAATTTATCTTTTGTTCGAATAGGAATGTTATTTAAAAGTGATTAAAACTCAACCGACATTTGCTGTTGCATGGAGTAATTTAGGATGTATATTTAATTGCCAAGGCGAGGTATGGTTGGCTATTCATCATTTTGAAAAGGTCTGTTCATATAAATGTATCAACGTACATCGAGAAATAGTTTGATTTGCCTCATAGGCAGTCGCTCTGGATCCAAATTTTCTCGATGCGTACATTAATCTAGGAAATGTTTTGAAAGAAGCACGAATATTTGACCGGTAAATAGACTTTTCTTGATTAAACTGTAAACAAATCAGAATATCAAATATATTCGATCTTCTTCTAGTGCTGTGACAGCTTATTTACGAGCACTTACTCTTTCACCAAATCATCCGATTGTTCATGGCAATTTAGCATGTGTCTATTACGAACAGAAGTATTTGAAGCAATACTCAATGATTATCTAGAATTGAAATTGTCCTTTTTTAGTCTAATCGATTTAGCCATTGAAACTTATCGGCGCGCAATACAATTGCAGTCAAATTTTCCAGATGCTTATTGTAATTTAGCAAATGCATTGAAAGTGCAAGGCAAAGTATGTCGATCTGTCTTTGTTGTCTCTTACAATAGTTCATTTACGTACTCTTTCAGGTTTCGGAAGCCGAAGAATGCTACAAAACTGCCCTAAGTCAATGTCCAACACATGCTGATTCTCTGAACAATCTAGCGAATATCCGTCGTGAACAAGGACAAGTTGATGAAGCAATTAATTTATACACACGTGCCTTAGATATCCTTCCAAATTTTGCAGCAGCACATTCAAATCTAGCATCGGTTCTTCAACAACAGGGCCGATTGCATGATGCATTAAATCATTATAAAGAAGCGATACGTATTCAACCGATGTTTGCGGATGCTCATTCGAATCTTGGTAATACGCTCAAAGAGATCGGTGACGTAACAGGTGCATTACAGTGTTATACACGTGCGATACAAATCAATCCATCCTTTGCTGACGCACATTCAAATTTAGCTTCTATACACAAAGATACTGGCAATATTACTGATGCAATTCAATCCTATAAAATCGCCTTAAAATTGAAACCAGACTTTCCAGATGCCTTCTGCAATCTAGCTCATTGTTTGCAAGTATGTCCTTCGGCGTTGCGAAAAACAAGAACGAAAATAACTTTTTTTAGATCATATGTGATTGGTCAGACTATGATCTTCGTTTGAAAAAAATCTGCTCAATTGTACATGAACAATTAGAAAAGAATCGTTTACCGAGTGTACATCCACATCATAGTATGCTATATCCCTTGACCGGTGAACAACGACGAAACATCGCGACTCGACATGCACTTCTCTGTCTCGAACGAGTAAATATTATCATCGAAAAAGAAATCAATCTGCAGTTCTAATTGCATGTATGTTTTTAGATTCAATTATTGCATAAAAAGACACACGTCCACTCGAAAGATTTAAAAGAAAACAACGGTCGATTGCGCATAGGTTATGTCAGTTCAGATTTCTGTAATCATCCTACTGCACATCTAATGCAGAGTATACCAGGTTTACATAATCGTGAACGTGTAGAAATATTTTGTTATTCACTGAGTGCCGATGATGGTACGACATTTCGTGCAAAAATCCAACGTGAAGCAGAACATTTTATTGATTTATCATCAATTACATGCAATGGGCAAGCGGTAAGACTATTTATTTCTGAAAACAAGATAGATTTATAACGTTCAATTTCATTTTTCGTAGGCTGATCGTATTCATGATGATGGAATCCATATTTTAGTTAATCTAAATGGATACACTCGAGGCTCGCGAAACGAAATATTCGCGTTTCGTCCCGCTCCGATCCAAGTTATGTGGCTTGGTTATCCCAATACATCTGGTGCTCCCTACATGGACTATTTAATAACCGATGAAATCACTTCTCCACTTTCCTTATCATCACAATATTCAGAAAAACTTGCATATATGCCGTATACATTCTTCATTGGCGATCATGCAAATATGTTCCGTCATATGACAGAAAAAGCAGTTATTGTCGAAAGTCAACAAACAAATAGTAATAACAATAATAATGCCATAACTACAGTCGATAATCGATCGATTGTCAATGGTACAAATCTAAAACCAATACTCGAACGAAGTGATGTCAAAGTAAATGGAAATTGTTTTGCTTTGCATCAACAAGGATTTTGTTCTTTAGACAATAACAGTTGAAGTTCTGCCTGCTGATAAGAAAGAGAATGGCACAGTTAATACCAATCAATGCAAAGAAGAAGTTATTACACCGTTAGTTGAACTACCAGAAGCAATTGTTGTTCATCAGCTATTGCAGCAAGGTCATAGTGAAGTTAGTATTAATGGAATTGTTGCACAAAATGGTACAACAACATTACAAGTAAATCATCTCTTTTATTCTCATACATTATTATTATTTTACGTAATACAATAGACTAGTAGTCGTGCAGCAACAGGTGAAGAAGTTCCTCAAACAGTACTTTTAACTACCCGAACACAGTATGGATTACCAGATGATGCCATTGTTTATTGTAATTTCAATCAATTATATAAAATTGATCCTACGACAATGCTTTGTTGGTGTAATGTAAGCTATAAATGACATTCCATTCGAATTCTTTTTCCATCGAATCAATGTTCTTCAGATATTAAAGCGAGTTCCAAATAGTATCTTATGGCTTCTACGTTTTCCAGTCGCAGGCGAAGAAAACCTCATCCAAACAGCAAAACTTCATGGCGTCGAGCCTTCTCGACTAATCTTTTCAAACGTCGCTCCCAAAGAAGAACACGTTCGTCGTGGTCAACTAGCTGACATTTGTCTGGATACACCATTATGTAATGGCCATACAACTGGCATGGATGTTCTATGGGCAGGTCAGTATCTATATAACGATTCTGTACTTTTGTAATCAATTATTCTCATTGATAGGTACACCGATGGTTACTCTACCTCTGGAAACATTAGCATCTCGCGTCGGTGCATCTCTCTTACACACACTTGGTTGTCCGGAGTTGGTGGCTGAATCTTATGATGATTACGAGAATATTGCTGTTCGTCTAGGTGTCGATCCCGTCTATCTCAAATCTGTCCGGGCCAAAGTTTGGTCACGTCGCTTGACCAGTCCACTGTTTGATACTGCTCTATATACTCAACATTTAGAAGGACTTTTCATTCAAATGTGGAATCGCTACACCAACAACTTATCGCCTGATCATATCAAATCGTCGATCACAAGTTAAAAACAGTTTTGCATCGTTTTCTCTTGTTTTTATATCTCATATTGAGATCGTGTTCATTTTCTTTCCATGGATTATTCTTGTTATTTTATTCTCGACACTACACTGAACACACACACTCGAGACAAAGAAACTTTCTTTTCTCTTCTCTTCTCTTCTTCTATGACAAACAGACTTTTCTGAATTCACAAAATTGTTACATTCTTTTGTTTGTCTATAGCGTTTTGCATGAATTCTTGAGATTTTTTCTATCAGGTGATGGGATGATTACGGAGTAGAAAAGGTCGGCGTTGTTTTTTCTCTTTCTTCTCAATATTAAAGACGAGAAAATAAAAAAAAACGAAGAAGAAAGAAATGGAGGATCACACCATTCTCGCATCGATTTCTCAGTACAATCAGCTAGTTACCTGTCGACTATTGTGCTTGAAAAGAACGAAAAAGAGGAAGAGAACGAGAGAAGTCGACATCTTTTTCTGATTTCTTGTAACTCAATTTCAGACTGATGTATAAATTGACATTCGTATTTTTAGATGCATGTAATCACAGAACAACATGGAGAATGAAACGAGTCAGTTGATTTATCTGAATTTCAGTTATTCATCGCTCATCACTGTTCTTCGTAGAAAATGATTTAGTAAATCAAACAAAGAGAATCTTACTGATCGGAACACCAGCGTCCAGAACTATGCCGTCGTTACATCCGATGAAATCACATCAGTTTGCAATAGGCATCTCATTAGCACTCTTATCCAGTTTGTTTATCGGTTCGAGTTTCATTTTAAAGAAGAAAGGCTTACTCAAGTTAACCCATCACTTGGGAGTAGTTCGAGCAGGTTTGTCACAAACTATTTTCTTAGCATTCGTCAAGAGAACCTCTCACTATCTTTGTCTTTAGGATCCGGCGGCTTTGGTTATCTCTATGAGATTCAATGGTGGACTGGACTGTTAGCCATGGGTATTGGAGAGGCTTGTAATTTTGCAGCATATGGATTTGCTCCGGCATCGATTGTCACTCCTCTTGGTGCACTGTCAGTTCTAGTCAGGTTCGTGGTGTATAGTGATTGCTATTAATGTATGTATGTATATGTTTTGACAGTGCTCTGTTGGCTGTTCGATTCTTGAATGAAAACTTGACTACGCTTGGCAAGATCGGCTGTCTTCTGACTGTTGCTGGTTCGATTATTCTTGTGATTCATGCACCAAAAGACAATGATGTCACTTCTCTGTCAGATTTTGCTCAAAGAGTCAGATCTGCCGGTAACAAAGATCATTCAACAAGAAACGTTGAATACTGATCTGATTTCTGTTTAGAATTCGTTTTCTTCTCATTATTTACATGTGGTGTCCTTCTCGTGTTGATCTTCTACTATGCACCTCGTATGGGTGCTAAACATGTTTGCATATACATTCTGATTTGTTCTCTACTCGGTGCATTCACCGTCACAGCTTGTAAAGGTTTGGCGACAGGATTGAAAGAATTATACATGCACGAACACACATATTCAATGTGGTTGACATTGATCTGTGCGTTGACGATTATTAGTTGTATTTTGATCCAAATGGTGTATCTCAACCGAGCGTTAGATCTGTTCTCAACACCAGTTGTAACAACTGTTTATTATGTGTTATTTACAACGTGTATTCTCATAACATCGGGTATACTGTTTCGCGAATGGCGTCTATTGACATTCGTGGATGTTGTTGGTTGTGTTGTTGGATTTGTTGTTGTCACGTGTGGACTGATTTTGATCAATTATTTGAAAACGATGACAGTGTCCATCGACACAGAATCTGCAGATGTGAATGGTGAGAGATGAGCTGTTTTTGATAAAGAAAAGAAAGCATGTCGGTATTTAGATGACTCTCTTCTTTCATCGTTCTCGTCAGCTTCACAATTTCTTGCACTTGGCTCATGTGATCCTGTATCAACGAAACAATCGAACTATGCTCCAATCAAATCCTATGCTGATCTCTTACAGAATGAGGATGATTGCTCATTACGAATGAATATTCCTAACAAATACGATCAATCAATATGATTACTGGATAACTGTGTTATTTGATATCAGTGTATATTTTACTGAATGAAAAATATCTTGTATTATCGAATCTCACTAATCTTATTGTTTTGTAATATTGTATAGATGTGTGAGATGTGTTTTTGTTAGTTTTTTTGCAAAGAAGATTCTTTCATAAAGGTTTATGATAACCAAGGGAAGATTACAAATATAATGAATTATGTTTTGAAGACAAAGAAAATTGAACCTAATTGCAAACCTGTTATGACGAGGACTGTTTGTCAGATGTGCATCACTTACAGTATCTTATGAAGTAGTGACCTCAAATGAGGAAGTTTATCTATGATCAATCAGCGTTAGCAGTTGACTTATAAGAAATTTTTTTCTTAAACGAAGAAAATAGTGATGGAATTATGCATGTACCTTCTTGGCTAATGATAAAAGGTATCATCCAATGAGAATATTTGTAGCTTGACTGTGCACATACGTAAATTTAAGAAAGAATAGGCAGTCTTATGTACTTCTCGTCACTTCTGAACTTCAAGGACCGTATTGTTTCGCTCTGCTCCTAGTTTTATGCTTATACTTGTTATAGTATAGCCAAGTGTGATGTTAAAAAAGATGACTTTGCGAACGAATTATTGAATTGATATCAAAGTAGAATTTGAAGACAACCGACTGGGCCATTACTGTCATGTTTCAACTTAATTGAACTCTATCGTTAGTTCATCTTTTCTGCGTACTTAGCCTGGTGGGCGATCTAAAATAATTCGTTATGATATTGCTTAACTCTCACCTTTTTAGACAGATTCACTTCTGCATATACGTCTGACCTTTTTTCGCCGGCTTTTTCAATAAAATCGTTCGATAACTACATACGCATTCATATATATTGAATGAATACACTGGACGAGTTACAAATGGACAATTCAGGGATCACTCGTTTTAATATACTCGATTTGCCTAATGAACTTCTACTGATTATTTTCAATAAACTCAGCGGTATCGAAGTTTTTTATTCAGTGGCACATGTCAATCGAAGATTTTACGAACTAGCATTCGATTGTTCTTATGTTCGAGATTTGCAAATAACTAGGGTGATAGATGTTGATAAGTGTTACGAAAAACTGTCTTCAGTAGACGTCAAACTTATTTCAAGAGCTTGTAAAAACATTCTTCCCAAAATTAATCATCGTGTACAAAAGCTTACAGTTGATCAGACTTCAATGATTCCAATTCTTCATGCTGCTAATTATCCTCGTCTTCATTCATTGACGATTGTAGATATTCGTGAAAAATATCTTCTTCGTTCTCTAAAAAGTATAGTATTTCTTTTAATTACTCATTAGCAAAATAAAGAATCCCGTGAGATAAATATCTATAATCTTTTTCAAAGATGATGCCGTTCTTCGTGATCTTCTCACCAACCAAGTAGCGCATCTGAACATTGATATCAAATACAGAAACTTACTTTTTAAAACAAGTACCTTAAAACTATTTGAGTTTATATTATCGTTATGTAAAAATTTAACGACATTCAATTTTGGTGACGTGTTATTTGCACGAAAGCGTGTCGCCAGTTTGTATGTAATACGATCAAGCAAAATTTGTTCGCCCTTAACGAAGCTGAAAATTAATATTGAAAATTTCTTCGACTTGACTTTCCTGCTTGATGGTCGTTTCCACCGGTTATCATCACTAGCTGTTAATGTAGCTAGCAATTATGGTCCAATGGATATACGTAGAATAGTAAGTAGAATTTCACTGTAGATGTTGTGACGAAAGAAACAGAAAATAAGTTTCAATCATTTATTAATGCTTTTTCCGTGTAAAAGCAAGTTTCATCATTGAAATATTTCTCTCTCCATGGAAGTCTGCTTACCCCTACATGTATCTATGATGCCTTCGTTGCTCCATTACTTTGTGAAATGATAAATCTCGAAGAGCTAAACTTATGCTTGCAAATTGCAAGATCCAACACGACTTTTATTGATGGTAACCAATTATATAATCAATTTCTCATTTCCATGACAAAATTAAAAAAGTTCACATTTAACATCAACACATTTGTTCATTATCGAAATGTCAACGTTGAACTTCAATCAAATGAAGAGATTCAACGTAGTTTTACAGGAAGATTTTACCAAGAGGTGTTTTCGCATGTGAAAATAAATCCATCTGAGCGTGTGGGCGAATGTCATATTTATTCACTTCCATATAATTTTGAATATTACTTTAATGTTGATAACTCTTTTTCAGGCGGTAGATTTGAGAAGGTTCGACAATTGCGAATGTACGATCCGTTTGGTTTCACATTTGAATTATTTCATCGTATTTCTCAAGATTTCCCGTGTCTCGAATATTTGAACATCACGAATGGCCGCGCAATGAGAGTCAAACCAGATCTATGTACGTCTGTTATCACATTCCCGTATCTCAAATTTCTAAATTTGCGCGAAGCTCACGATGATTATGGTGTATTCTTTCTTTTGAAACAATACGTGCATCTACCTCAGTTGGCATGTCTAAGAGTCCGGCAAGCATCGCTTGAAAAAATAACGAAAAACTTTACTAGTGATCCAATGACTTTGAATCTTTCTAAAGTGAAAGATCTCAACGTAGGTCTATGGTTTGCTCCACTAGCCACCTTCCACATGTATTTTTCCGCGTAATCACTTAGTTAATTAAAAAAATAGTCGGAGGAACTTCAATTGTTTTCTATTTGACTGAAATGTATATAAAACGAACACAAAAAGATATGTCATTCAAAAACGTTTGTTTCTCTTTATCTAATTGTACGCTAATAATAGTAATCATCTAATAAGATTTCATGGACACCACGCGAATACCTGCCAGCTAATTAGCTGTTTATTTATGGGCATGCTGATTAAACTAAAAAATAGAAGAATAAATCGAATGATGATTTGAAAAGTACAAATGATACCAATGCAGTCTAATGCAAACGTAATTTTAAGCTTAAATTCCTAACGAACATACATTCTCCTATCTACCAACCTCACATTCGAATCCGTTGCTGGATTTGAGAGCCTGTGTTTAAACAAACGAACAGAATTCTGAAAATTCGATTGTTTTTGTTTTATAAAACGAATGGGCGATTAAAAAATTCACAATTAAAGGCTGATTGTAGAAGATAGATCAACTCATTGATTCACCATTACGTTCATAACTCAATACACAGAAAACGTATAACTGTCCGTCTTTTTCATATACTATGTGTTTATCTCAGTAGACTCTTGTGACCGAATTATTAGCGGAGCTTTTGATACAGGAAATAGATTCGAAACTTTTGTATGGTTGAGAACTGATAACAATTGGATCGTTACATAGAATATCGACGATTGGATGTGTCATGACATTTTTGAACGGATTCTATTATAATTTCTCAAAAAAAAGTCTTGAAAAGCAAACCTTCGACGAAAAGCATGATGAAGTGTTCTTTTATTTTATTATTTTTCTTGAATCCGTATACACATGTTCTATGTATACAAGTTTTTGTCACCCAAAATATGACAGAAAGTGTTACTGATGATGATGTTAAAATAAATTGAGAAATGAGATTGAAATTATACTTTGCGTACTGTGTGAAAGAATTTGTCATTTTCAATGAATTTTATTCGATAAATTTCGATGTATTCTAGTTGATTGAAAATCGACAGTTATGAACATCGATTTATCAATAAAATTAATTGAAAAGACAATCGTAAACTATTTCTTTTCTTTCAGATATAGCTAACATTGATCACAGAAAGAATTTATTTGTACTTTATTTCTCTTTTACAAAAAATGAGTATGCGAAGGAGAAAAAAGAAATGGATCGTAGTTCGTTTCAATCATTTTTAAATTTGCTGAATTGTTTCTAATGCCAACTGACCTCCAGGTTGATCGAAATTTTCGTCGAAATGAACACTGGTTTTCTCTGGAATGAAAAAGGAAAGATCAAAGTAAAAAATACGGGAATAACCAAGAAAATAACCTTCAGGTGATTTGACAATGACATTCGGTGATACAACGAATATTTGATATTCCGGTTCAAGAAAGTAACTGTTGATAGGCAATTGCGATATTTCATAACAATAGACTCGTTTATTTGTTGTTGTGTGCAATCCACCCTGTAACGACTAAATAAAATAAAAGCTTGCGATTCTAATTAAACGAATTCAACTTTACTTCTATAACGACATATTGATTACCAGCATATGTGTCGGTAGTCAGCTTTAACTAAAAATAAATGAAAATTCATGGTTAATGGACGACGAACACACGAGCGATGGGCGCACTGCTGTTGACGGCACAGATATTGACGAACACGAAAACAAAGCAAGATAAATATAAATATGAGCGAAGAAGTGTGTCGCTGTCACTCTTTCTCGCTTTTTGTTCTCATCTTCATTCAAACTTTCGTTGCTTCAACTCTTCTTGCACTCTTCATTCTGCTTCTTGAGCGAGGGTGAGAACGAGAATTGAGAAAGGGCCACAGAAACACATTCCTTCATCTATATTTACTCATATTTGTCCTGTCTGCTTTTGGTTTTCGTCGATATCTTAGACGTAGACAGTCATGTGTTTATCGTTTCGATTCTCGATGGCCAACGACGAAGAATTGCTTAATTAAAACATACTTTATCGCAAATAATTTCTTTTAAGTTTTCCATTTCATTTTCGCAATGATCACATTCTATAATGTTCGACGATTGAGACTAAAAGATGAATTCAAGTACACGGCATTGAACGAATTAAATGCAGCTTACATCAATATATTCTTCGCTACTCGAGCAAGTGGCTTGAAGAATTTCTCTGTCGAAATTGTCGTATCGATACATGTAGTTTAAAAGGAGATCAATACCCAGGTTATTATGGCACGGTCGGTTCCGGCCGGTTAGGTTCGTTTTCCGACCATTTCCTTGCCGCCGGAAGTTCAAACATAGGTTCCAGTCATTTCCCGACCGGTTCCGGCAAACTTCGAGCTGGAAACGGTCAGGAACTGATAGGATACTTCCTGTGCAGTTCCGGCCGGAATCCGGCGGCAAAGAACTTGCTGGAATCGGCGAAAACTGTGCCGGAATCGAGAAGAACTGTACCGGAACCGACTCAGACTTCAACGGACCCAGTCGCCGGAATGATCGACCTGGGTAATTGCGAGCTGATCACGTTGCTTTAACGATTCAGATGACGATTTTACCTTGTTCTTCAATAATTGTAGATTATCAATCTAGATTAGACTCCTTTGAGTTGTATCTTTTGGAAAAATAATCTTACTGTCATATTATCGAGAAGAATTTCCCTGAGAAAATTATCCATTGGAATTCGACGAGAAATTATGATAAAGAAAATGAATAGTATAAAATACAACTGCTTATCGATCGAACTTTTCCAGACAATAAAAAGAGAATACTTTATATGCAGACTGGAAACGATAACAACGAGATCAGTAAAAGAAAAGGCTATGATTCGGTAAACGAAGTCGTCAGTTAGTGAAATAGACGTAGACAAATGTTTCTAATGTTCCTCTCTTTTCCTTTTCTTCACGTGACATATGCATGATCAACTGTACACATAGATAGCAAGTATTTTTTTCGTCTAACATATCCCTTCGTAGATTTGACTTATGTATTATCTAACTTTTATTTTCCTTTTCTTCCTCTCGACTTATCTGATTCATTGAATGTATAGACAAAGATCCCAAATTGGCAAACAGTCTATTCACTAGAAACACTCTCTCAGTATAACTAGTTGATTCATTGGGTAAAAGACTATATCATGACAAGAACATCTACGATATGTGCATTGTTAACATTTCATGGGCAAGAGGAAGCCTAGGTTTGTGGAGAACATGACTTGTTTCTTTCACACAATGGCAATCGCCGTCTTCAATGCTATTCAAATAGTCATCCTTTCTTTCTGCTCCAAATGAAGAAACGTTTTCTCTTAACTATTTTATCAATTTCCATGACATCAATAATGACTGCAAGAAAAAATGTTGAATAAGTATCGATCGTATTTTGCCAAGATCCATACAGTTCCCAATTCATTCAATCATTGTCGTTGAAATAGAGAATAATTGTGTGATTATCAGCTCGTGCGACCATGACATCGTCTTAATCGATAAATGTTCGTCGTTTACCAAGAATCAATCACCACAGATGTAGAAAATAATGGATAAATCAAACATTTTATTTCTGATCCAAATCAGCATGTAAGCTGTCGATGTGTCTGAAAGCCAATGAGAAATAATCACCTCCACATCCTTACCCTCTTCTATCAGGTAATGGGATGATTACGGAGTAGAAAATCTCGACGTTGTTTTTTTTTCTCGATATTAAAGCCGAGAAAATGAAAAAAAAACGAAGAAGAAAGAAGTGGAGGATCACGCCATTCTCGCATCGATTTCTCAGTACAATCAACTAGTTACCTGTCGACTATTGTGCTTGAAAAGAACGAAAAAGAGGAAGAGAACGAGAGAAGTCGACATCTTTTTCTGATTTCTTGTAACTCAATTTCAGACTGATGTATAAATTGACATTCGTATTTTTAGATGCATGTAATCACAGAACAACATGGAGAATGAAACGAGTCAGTTGATTTATCTGAATTTCAGTTATTCATCGCTCATCACTGTTCTTCGTAGAAAATGATTTAGTAAATCAAACAAAGAGAATCTTACTGATCGGAACACCAGCGTCCAGAACTATGCCGTCGTTACATCCGATGAAATCACATCAGTTTGCAATAGGCATCTCATTAGCACTCTTATCCAGTTTGTTTATCGGTTCGAGTTTCATTTTAAAGAAGAAAGGCTTACTCAAGTTAACCCATCACTTGGGAGTAGTTCGAGCAGGTTTGTCACAAACTATTTTCTTAGCATTCGTCAAGAGAACCTCTCACTATCTTTGTCTTTAGGATCCGGCGGCTTTGGTTATCTCTATGAGATTCAATGGTGGACTGGACTGTTAGCCATGGGTATTGGAGAGGCTTGTAATTTTGCAGCATATGGATTTGCTCCGGCATCGATTGTCACTCCTCTTGGTGCACTGTCAGTTCTAGTCAGGTTCGTGGTGTATAGTGATTGCTATTAATGTATGTATGTATATGTTTTGACAGTGCTCTGTTGGCTGTTCGATTCTTGAATGAAAACTTGACTACGCTTGGCAAGATCGGCTGTCTTCTGACTGTTGCTGGTTCGATTATTCTTGTGATTCATGCACCAAAAGACAATGATGTCACTTCTCTGTCAGATTTTGCTCAAAGAGTCAGATCTGCCGGTAACAAAGATCATTCAACAAGAAACGTTGAATACTGATCTGATTTCTGTTTAGAATTCGTTTTCTTCTCATTATTTACATGTGGTGTCCTTCTCGTGTTGATCTTCTACTATGCACCTCGTATGGGTGCTAAACATGTTTGCATATACATTCTGATTTGTTCTCTACTCGGTGCATTCACCGTCACAGCTTGTAAAGGTTTGGCGACAGGATTGAAAGAATTATACATGCACGAACACACATATTCAATGTGGTTGACATTGATCTGTGCGTTGACGATTATTAGTTGTATTTTGATCCAAATGGTGTATCTCAACCGAGCGTTAGATCTGTTCTCAACACCAGTTGTAACAACTGTTTATTATGTGTTATTTACAACGTGTATTCTCATAACATCGGGTATACTGTTTCGCGAATGGCGTCTATTGACATTCGTGGATGTTGTTGGTTGTGTTGTTGGATTTGTTGTTGTCACGTGTGGACTGATTTTGATCAATTATTTGAAAACGATGACAGTGTCCATCGACACAGAATCTGCAGATGTGAATGGTGAGAGATGAGCTGTTTTTGATAAAGAAAAGAAAGCATGTTGGTATTTAGATGACTCTCTTCTTTCATCGTTCTCGTCAGCTTCACAATTTCTTGCACTTGGCCCATGTGATTCTGTATCAACGAAACAATCGAACTATGCTCCAATCAAATCCTATGCTGATCTCTTACAGAATGAGGATGGATTTTCATTAATAAATGAATGTGATGTTCAATCATAGTACACAAGTCGTCCAACGAAAATTATACGTTCTTCTTCTTTTTGACAATCTCTATTTTTTGTCTGTTTATAAGTGCATATGCGAAAAGCTATTTTTTGTGAATTATTTTATGAAAAAAGAACGAACGTTCATGATATTCATGAGAAGCATCGGATTATATGAAAGAAGATTTATCGAAAAATAATATTAAGCACGCTTGTGATAATAATAACAATAGTAAGAATCTTTCTATTAATCGCTCCACACATACTATTTTATCACGCTATGACCTCGAGTGGAGAAAGTTTATCTATATACCACTGATATCAATAATTTATATCTCCAAGAGCTTTCTTTTCCGACGAAGGGTAAAAATAACGATTCAGAGATCATTAAACAGCCAATTAATAGAATCAGTGCTCCTACGAAACGAATGCAAACTTTTTGCCATAATTGCGCACATCTATCTTCTATGTATGCATATGACTGACTAATGATTGAAAACGATTCTTTTTGAACTTTAACTGTACATACATCTCTCCGTTCGACTTTTTATCTTTTTTTTTTATCAAATATGCATATATGTTTGTATTTAATTTCCATGGGGAATGAAAATGAAGGGAGAGGGAGTAAAAAATCTTTTTGCCTTTCCTTTTGATAGTATCATTAGGGAATTTCTTTTTTTTTATTTCAATATGATCAATCACTGATCATTAATGGTCAAAGATACATGAAGATGGATTTTATTATTCAACCTTGTTCAACGTAGTTTATAAAACGGAATTACAAACGAAAGGATGATAAGATTTTATCTGCATATGTCTCTAATCGAAGAATAATAAAATGACGGATACATGCACGCGCTCGACCTTAGATATGGGTAATGATACATGCATAGCATCACGATAATCATTACATCATTTCCATATGCACATCTTCTTAAACGACAAACAGCAGCAGTTGTCATCCTATGACCCATCAAGTTCATGTGTGTACACATATGCGTGTGTGTCGAGATGTCCATAGAGCTTTTTCTTTGGAATTAAAAGCATCAAGTCAATGTCATTTGCCGAAATAATGAATATTTATTGGTTCAATGACACTGTTTGTAGTTAAACAATAGACGTCCGATCCATTAGAACGATATATAGATAGATAAATATGTATATATATATACACATGGTGCTCATTTTTTAAATAGTTATGGTGTTCATTTCACTAGGAACGAACAATAGTCAAAGGAAGAAAAGAGAAATAAAAAAAGAGATATGGAGAATAATGTCATTGCCAAATTGTGTTGAACTAAGCGAGTAAGTGTAAGTTGAAGGTTAACATAATATAATGTCTCCTCTCATATGTAAATATGAAAGCAAACAAGGTCAGTAACTACTACGACCTCCGGCAAGAAAAAGAGAGAGAGAGAGAGACAGGTGGAGTTATGTGTATCTAAGTTATGTAATCGGTTTATGTTGATAATTGTTCAACAAAAAAAAACCCGATCGATGTCGATCAATCATCATGAATATTATTATGCTATAAGCGTGATAGAACAACAGTAACCTTGAGATGAATATTAAGCTCATCATTTCTCTTCTCTTCATTCCCTTGTTATTTGTCGAAGAGATACAACATATTTCCATAAATTTCTCTCCATCGATAGAAACAGGTTTATTAGATAGAGAGAAAACTCCGCTTCCGTTCTTTTTTTAGCCATCATCAAGTAGGAAAGAACGACTTGGAGAGAAGGCAAAAAGACCGAGCTAATCAAGCTCGAAGTCAGATCAAGAATAAATAATAAGTTCAAGTTTATTTATCCCGAGGAATACAATGTTCATCTATTGACTTTTATTCGGTTTGACGAAATCAAATTTNTGATATTCTCTCCGTTTCTCTTAGTCTGAAGAAGCTTTCTCTTCTTCATCGTCATCGTCCTGTGCTTTTTTTCTCCTATCTTTTTTTGCTTTATTTGTCTTTCTTAGCTCATTAGAAAGAGAGTCTGTCTAATGGCCAGACAAGAATATCGTAAGCAATAGTAGTGGCGGCAGTCATATCAGCGATATTAACATACAATCGCTAAATCGGCATTCGTTTTTGACGTAAAAATGTGTAATGGGCTAAGCGAGTTACGAACAAAGAAGAGAGAACGAGACTAGAGAGGAGAGATAGAACTGTTCTCTTTCTATACAATGCTTTTTTTTCTTTTACTATATGTTGGCTTGTAACCGCAACGCGCTACCACTAGTAATACTACAGCGATCGTTACCATCACCAACGAAGAAGTCGATGCATCGGCCACAACACGGCTGCGGTACCTTTTTCTCCTTTCTTCTTCTCTATTTCTTTTTTCCCCTTCTTCTCTCTTCGCCTATTATGTAAAATACATAGACATTCACATATTCATGTTGATAGTAGAGTACAACGGGTGAAGAATAGATGAAATACGAAGAGAGTACCCAGAAAATTTGCACATTTGCTCACAGACTGAATTAATGTTTACAATGGTCATCGACAGCGCTGACGACAATGATCAATTAAAGAAAGGAACAAATTTTTCTTCTTTTTCTTCCTTTTTTCACGCTTCTTTTCTCCACTTTAACTATGCTTTACCTTTCAATTTTAAATTTTTCCTCCTTTTAACCGATTCCATTCGCTAACATCATCATCGCCAGCAGGCAGACTGACTGATTGAACATATATCGGAAGGACAAGTGTACCCCTCGTATGTTCTTCCTTGTTAAAGCTGTAAGGTCTGTATTTCTTCATTTGTTCACTATGTTCTATCATGTCTTCACATGTAGTCTCAACTTTCCTCTATATATCCATGTTAGGTGCGTCAAATGTTATCCTCACAGTATGCCTTGAAGCGATTGTTTTGTCTGTCGATTCTAACATCACTGCTTTCTCGACTAACAATAATAATCTAATCGTAATCTATCCGCTGAAATCTGACTAATATTTATAAGCTGAGAATCAGTAACATCGAGTGAAAGAAAGAGACTAATCCGTTTGATCGATGATCACTAGAGTACTTCAGAAGATGATGGAGACGAAAGAAGTGGAAGGAGAAGAAGAAAAGAGAGAATGGTAGACGGACTACTTATATGTATACATACGATTCTCTTCATATTTTCCAGACGCTTAGATCTCAAGATTCTTGCGTAATGAAAGACAGACACATGTGTACAAATACCTCTTCGAACAATATGATGAGATAAAATTTTTCTTTTGAAATTTCAGATCTTTTCGAATATCGCCAACGCTTTTTTTCCCCATTAGATGAATTATTTCATCGTACGACAATAGTAAGTCGAAGTTTCCGTCATCGGTTTGTTGATTGTTTTTCTTCTCTCATAGATCTTGTGTACTAGTCGGTCCAAAGATCGGCATACTTGTTTATTCTATTAGTACAATTGAATATTTGTGCAAATAATCTATATTTGCTCGTTTTCTTTCTCTCTTTTTTGATTATCTTCTAACGTCACATTATTGAAGTACGATGTTGCGTACGGCATTCTTATCGTTGATACTCATCGTATCTTTCTCATCAGCCGCATTACTTCGTAAATCGATTTCTCGTCGACAAGACCAAACTTATTGTCAAGCTATTGAAGGTTTCGATTGTAAATGTTCATCGTATCGTGTAACCTGTTCAACCGATCGTGAGTTACCCCAAGCATTGAGTGTTCTACAACAAGAGAAACAAAAATATCCATCGGTTGAATTGCTGATCAATGGTGAACGCGATCAACATGTTTATGAACATACATTTGAACCGGTCAAACAATTATTCAAGTCTGACGGAGATAATTTTGAATTTCGCATCAAATTTGAGAAATTTACCGCACTTCATTTACACTCACCAGGTACATTTAATAAAGTTTTTCCTGACGATGCACCGGCAACAGCGCGAAAAAATTTGGTAAGTGTTCATTTTCTGTTTGTTATAAACACCAAAGTTGCTCATTTTGTTACAGGCAGTGGAGATTTATAATCCGCAAGTTCAGCCGAATGATAATGTCAATCTATTTGCCAATTTAAATGTTGACTCATTAGAATTATATGTCACCTACCCATTTCGCGGAACATTTCAACAATTATTTACCGGCGCAAACGTCAAATATTTACGTTTAAGTGGTGGAGATATACGTTCAGATCCATCCCAACCATTTACAGGCAATATCGGTCGATTAGAATTAGCTAAACAAGGGAACCAATTAACCACACAAATCTTTCCTATCTATCCGGCACATGAATTGATCATTAATGCATACTATGTTTCTGATTTCAATAGTGATAATCCACCCAATTATTCTAATTTAGGTGAATTACGTGTTTATAGCCAAGAACGTATTCCTGCTAATGCTTTTCGACATTTTCCTAATTTGCATACATTATCTGTTACAAGTGAAAAGGACATTGATCCACATGCATTTGATGGTTTAAATAAATTGGAAAAATTGACCATTAAGGATACCAAAGCATCGTTGGACTTATTGAATAACTTACCTAATTTGAAAGAACTTGAGGTCAGTTTGGAGAAGTTCGATGAACGAGAACAATGTGAATTGGTCGATAAGACAGCTAGCGGAAAAATTGTCGTACAAGGTATGTTTTTGAGAAAAGTTGTCAAAGTAAAAACTATTCTATTCATGAAATTATAATTTAGGTATTTCATCTGGACGCGACTGTACGTGTGCAGCAAGTTATTTGGATTCAGCTTCTGGACGATACCCATGCGATGCACAAGATTGCGACCGTTCATCGTGTGCCGCTATTCAAACTAATTATGATGCACAAGAAAGAAAATTCAAGAGTCCACCAGCTATTCAACGCGCTGATGGCAGCGACGCTTTCCGTCAACGTGAACCGAAGGTGTATTCTGGAGCCTATCAAATATCACATCAAGATCTAGAGAAATCTCAACAGCAAGCATCAGCACAAAGCCATGATCAATCACACTCACAAGGCGGCGATGGTGATCACAGTCAACATCAATCGGATCATCACTATCATCCAGGTAAAATATTTCAAATATTAGTTTCAGCAGAAGAATTTCGCCTTTCCAAATTTGCAATACTCAAGGGAGAAGAGTATTGATGAAGTCGAGTGATGAAGGAATAAGCAAACAAAACTCTTTCCCTCTCTCTCTCTCTCTTATGTAACGTTTTCAGAATATCAATCATCATCATACTCTCAAAGCAATGATAATATTCCTGGGAAAAAAACTGATTACTATTCATCCGCTATTCCAAATGATTTACCACAAACATCTCTAACAAATATGGATGAGCGAAATAATGAAAGATCACAAGTTCCCTCGGACTATTTAACTGACTATGAAAGTAATAGGAAAGCAAATAGAAGCAAAGCAAAGTCTTCTAGTCACTATTTGAATTGAGCAGCATCTACAGTGACCGCTTCGTAACTAATCATTCAATAGAAAGATGATAACAGATACTGTTAATTCTGTAGCAAAACAGCGTCCTACTTCAAATTGATTCTTAGCTTTTACTTATGATATCGATGATATGGCATTCTTTCCTTGTATTTTCTTAACAAAAGTGTCTCATTCACTTGTCTGTGACATTCACATAGAAAAATAACTCATTAAGACTGATATGAAAGATAATTTCATTGAAGAATTCTTTTCCATTTACTTATAGATCCAAACCAAGGTGAAGCCGGTCAAGGAGCTGAAGGTAACAACAATCAAGAAGGAGACGGCAATGAAAATCGTCAAGACGGAGAAAGTAGTGGTACTCGACAAGAAGGAGATGGACATGCCCATCATCAAGCAGCTGATGGAAATCAATCTACAGATGCCCTTAGCGATGATGCTACTGAAGTTCCACCGACAACAAAGAGAAAATTAGGTTGGTTATCAATCGGTCTTATTATCGCAGCAGTAGTTGGTCTTTTACTTGTTGGTTTAATTATATTAATTATCCGACGACGATCTGCCGCAGGATACAGTACAACAGCAACATCCGAACATGGAGCAGCTCAAACGGCTAAAGCATAGATATGCTTTAGTTTTGTTTTAACAACTTAATTGTCGTCTCGTCTTGTATGTTTTTTTGCTTTTTCTCGTCGGTGTTTCTCCGCACTCTAAGCAAGAGCAAGTATTATTATTATTATTTCTTCTATCAATTATCATTATTTCGATTTTCAAGATTATATTGACTATTCTCCTTCGTTTTTTTTCATCCCTTAGCTTAGTACATAACAAAACAAGAAACAATTACTAGGCGATTTATTGTGTGTCAATTTGTGTGTGTGCGTGTGTGTGTTCTTTATTCAATCCTATTTCGATTCTTCTCATCGAAAGGCTTTTATTTCTTCTTATTCACGTGATGAATTTTGTGCTCTTTCGTGTTCATATTTCTTCTGCTTTCGCTTTTTGTTTGTTCAAGCACAAATATTTTTTTTCCCTTTGAAACTCTTTTTCTTTTTGGTCATTCACACATCCATCAAGTACTTTGTTGTCGTCATTGCTTGTTCAAGGTTTTTTGATTTCCCATTTATTTTCCCGTTTTCTTTATCGATATTAATAATCGTACAATGAACGAATCAAATAGCAGAAAGACATTTGACTTATTAATTGAATGTACCCTTACCTAATTATGTGCAAACGAGTCGATTTCTCTTAATTTACTTGTTTTGATTCAATTCGTTTTCTCTTCTTCTCTCTTTTCTGTTTAATTCTGCGTTCTCATTTTCAAGTGGTTTGGTATTTTTTTAGCAAGTTCTAAGTTTGTCGCTTTTTGATGTTTAATTGAATTTAAACGCACACACAAATGTCGAGTCTTTTTCTTTCTACAACCGGATTTGCATGATATACAATCAATTTCGACTATTGACATTGAGAAATTGGTTCATGTTTACAACAATGATCAAGTCTGGTAGACTTTGCTATTAGTCATGATTTATTGCCCTTAAAATTGATATAGCATTTGTGCAATCACGCACGAGCCCGGATTTACAATTTTCGAGCGTTTTTAATGGGAATGCAAAAGGTTAGAGAGAAAGATAAATATGTATATGTAGATAAATACATGAATAAGACATGAAAAATACGAACAACACTCGATATTTACCTGCACTCAAATACAAAACAAGGCGTAGATGTCAAACAAACGATGAAAAATGCATAAAAATCTTTCGAATTTGATTTATTTTCAGTTCTAGATAAACCTCATGTTTCATATTTACTAAGACAAGATACTTAACGATATTGAAACAAAGAAAGAGAGAACTACAGACAGACTTTGGACGGAGAAAGAAAAAAAAAAAAATAAATAGAATGATATATTTCCGTTTTTTTTTTCATATCAAAGTCACTGTACGAACGATTTTCTATTTGTGTTAATTTATGGTAATTGTAAATATTTCTTTTCTGCATAGTATGCTTGGACAATATCATAAATTTGTTTGATTGTTTTTATAAAAGTTTTATATTGTTCGAGTATGTCAGTTTTATGACCCTCAAAGAGTATATCGTCTAATTGTTTACGTGATGGCAATACACGAAATCCGACTTTGACTGTTGTACGAATAAGAAAACCGTCTAAATGAAATGAAGATTTAGATTAGTTATCAATCGTCAAGTAAATAATGCTTTTTTTTCTGACTGATTTTGATTAATTATAGGTAATCTCGCTCGTACGAAACGAATGATGATCGATTGGAATCTTATGGAAATACGTATGATTGAGAATCGTTGCGAGTTGATAGGCATTTCGAAAAGAAAGAGTGCAAGTTATAGCAACAATATTACCCCGGGAATCGTTTCGGCTTAGTTTAAGATAAAAATAGCTTTTGAATAAGATAGAATTCGTAATGACATCGATCAGATAAGATGATGGCAGATGGGATATGATGAATCTGATTTGTATCGAAACTTACGATGATAATATAGAGTTGAATCGTACGCATTGGTTGCGATTGTTACAGTACTATCCGATGATGGTCGTTCGCTTAAGCCGCGAAGAAATTCTTCAATGAAAAGTAAAGCACGATGAAGTCTCAATAAAGTTCGAGAAAAATTTTCAGAATTTGTTTGAATAAGGCCATGTTCAGTTTCATAATCGATCGCTCTCTGTATTGTATCGAAATGAGGTGGATCGTTTTTATCATTATCGACAAAATCCTGTAAGATATCTAGTTTTTGTACAACATCATCTTTAACAAATTTGAATACACGGCCAAGTTGATCAAAAAATCTGTAAGAAAGAAAAATTAATTATAAAATTTTGTTTTGTGAACTGTAATAACTCACTTAATTAATTCTCGGTAACCATTGATGTAATCTTGTGTGCCAATCGATGATACTGGATTACAAGGTTCTCTCAAGGCAGCGACAAATGCATGATAAACATGCTCAACGTCAAATCCCGATGATGAGTGAGTCGTCTTGACGACAGGTTCGATAGAATCACCTGATTTAATTACACTTTCATCGATGGAAGTACTTTTGGTTATGCTGTCAGTACGTAAACGAAGTGTTTCATTAGGAGTATCATCATTGACTTCTGGTGTGTCGACAGGAATTATAGCATCCATTTTCTATTAGTCAAGTTTCAAATGTTAAGAGAAATTACGCTTAGCGAAAACAAAAAAACAACACGTGGTGAATAAAACTGTTTGATGTTGTTTTGTTTTGATTGTTCTAATAAGAAAATCGGATGAAAATGAGTCAGCCAAGAAATCGGACGATATATTTCAGAAATGTTCTAATCAATCGTCTAACTAGCGACTCAAGTAAATGATAATAATGTTAACGATTATAACCAATGTTATTGTAGTACACAGAATTAGTCCGACAGATGGCATTTGTTTCCAATCAAATCTAGGTATTCTCTTCCTATGATGAAACACAAACAATAGTTCAAATCTCACTGAATATTTTGCATTCTTAGTACGTATTGCACGCTTCATGTAAATACATTATTAAACTAGTTTCGGTATTCAAACTTCAGGTATGAAAGATATCTTTTAAAGTTGGTAGTGCGGTGTACGAAGAGTAACCTTTCATTCCATTGTGTCATTGTAGTTACCAAACACTTAATTTACAGTACAATTAGTGAGAGATTTCAATATTCAAACGACATAACTACACAATACCAGTTTAACTGTCTACATGTGATTTTAACGATAATTTAAAGTCTTCTATCATTTGCTGAAATACTCCACAAATATTGCAGCTATGTAAATTTTTTCGGTTATTCCTATTCTGGTCCAGAAATAAAGGAATCAAAACCTTAAAACGAGAGGAACAAGATCTTTCTTGGTATAAACTTTCATTTTGGAATTTCTCGATGACTGATACAAGTAGCGTGTTTCGTTTCAGTGTTCGTTGTAATAATCTTTATCTCTTGATGATATTCAATATCTAAACTGTATTACAACAGAGCTAGTCTTACTAGTATATGGATGCCATCTACGAAAAAGATTTTGTTTCGCGATTTCAGTTTTGTTTTTCACAAATAAATGTCTATGCCATCCTTCGTTCTGATTTACTGTAATTAGTCTGCTCCTATTTGTGTTTTTCGATTGAAATTCTCCTGATGTTCAAAATGATTCTCAACAAAGATTTTCGATTACGATCAATTTGTTCCGATATAAGTTCTCACTTTGATACTGTCCAGCATTACTCTGAATTAAGCATCACTATGAAAAAGCTCAACGATATGAAACGTTATAAAGAAGCTCTTACTTCCTTCCGTCGAAATAAACAAAATGGTAAAATAATCTCAGATATGGCCATTAATCAAGCATTAAAATCGTGTACAAATATGAAAGATTTGGCCGTTGGTTCAGATATTCATTCTCGTTACTGGTCACGAATAGAAAACAACTCATATACTCTAGCTTCTTTGATCCACTTCTATGGTAAGTATTAATCAAGATTCTATTCGAATATGTTCACGAAACCTTTCTAGCTCAAATGGGAAACTTTCGTCATGTCCAACATCTATTCGATGTAGCCAAAAAGAAAACAAATGGAATTTATGCAGCCATGATGAAAAGCGAAATAATGTCAGAAATATGCTCAACATTGATGATTTTTGTTTGTTTAGGCTACATTAAACAATGTATGTACAATGAAGCAATAAACATCTTCCGTGAAATTGAAAATCCCGATGAAATTAATTTTATTCATTATTTCAATGCTTGTGCTGGAACTGAATCGAAGGAAACCGTTCCACTCATTGAAAAAATTCTGTCCAATCTTCATACATGCGACGCTGATAATTCAACAGTGTTGACGTCTGCTTTTGACGCATTTATCAAATGCGGAAACTTATCGCGAGCCGAAGAACTCTTTTCCAAGATTACCCGAAATGTGATTAGTTATGGGAATTTGATGAAAGCTCACAATAAAAATGACCAAGCTGAAATTACTTTGGACTTATTTGAACAAATGAAAAGCGATGGTGTTCAACCAGATCCAATTATTTATGTTCTTGTATTGAATGCATGTGCAAATCTAGGAATCATTTCTATATCAGAAGCGATAAGTCAACAAATTCCAGATTGTCTTCTTGCATATCTCTACATTAAAAATGCATTAATTGATATGTGGGTTCGTCTAAATAGAAACTCATTGTAGTTTGTTTTATCTGTAACATTCCAATAGGGAAAATCGGCACGCGTAGATAAAGCAAAGGACATCTTTGAATCATTGGATCATCCAGACACCATTGTGTACACATCGATGAGTAATTTAGCAACGTCTTACTAAAAATGTTCTCATTTCGTGTTTTGATTAGTCAATTCGTATGGTTTGAATGGAATGGGTCTTTTGGGAGTTGAATTGTTTTATAAAATGCCACCGATATTAATTGCTGAAGAAACTTACGTCTGTGTTTTACAAGCATGTTCACATACTGGTCTTATCAATGAAGCGCGAGTGATATTTAATACTATCAATCAGAAAACCGAGAAAATCTATACGGCAATGGTTAGTTGAATAAGTACTTTTTTTTGTTACTGTTTTATTCTATACATTTGTGGAACATCTTTCAGGTCGATTGCTTTAGTCATGCGTTTCTCTTCGATGAATCACAGAAATTGATCGATATTTATGAATCCGATCATATGCCGTCACCAACTATGCTCAGTAAGAAGTTTTTTTAAAAGTATATTCTCACACTATTATATACAAATGAAAGTTCAGATCGTTTTACACACGAGTCTAATGGAAAGCTTGATGATCCGTTGCACTTTTAAAATGTTAAATTTGTTAAAAACTCTCAGATCGTCTCTTCAACACATTAAGTTTATTGCTATGTTTCTTTCTCAATTCAATAAGATTTGCTTGTTTTTTTTTCGTCAGTTCAAATAAACGTTTTGAACTTGATTTTCGTTATGTTTTTTTTCTTCTGTGTTTCAGCTGCCTTATTATCCGGTGCTCGTAATAGAAAAGACCGTGACCTTGCCGAAAAGGTATTTCATCGTATTGAAAAAAATTCTTCTCAATTAAAAAATCGATTAACGTCAGCCTCAATTTTATTATCCAATGTTTATGCTGCAACGGGCGAAATCGAGAAATCGTCTTCTATCAGAGATAAATTATATCGGTTAGGTTTACGAAAACAGATTGGTCAATCAGTGACCGCGATCAATGGCAAATTATACGTAAATATTTTTAACATAAAATCGTTCGATTACTTTGCATATTTTCCAGAAATTTCGAGCACATGATCGATCTCATCCTGAAATAGATAAGATTTATTTCGAACTCGACAGAATCTCCAAAGAACTCATTGAACACAGACATCTGTACGATGCAAGCTGGATCACGCGCCCATTATACCCAAACGAAACCATTGCATCTGTTCTTTGCGGACATAGTGAACGCCTCGCAATAGCTTGGAACTTTGTAGCAAATCCAAATACATCGACAATTCAAATAACCAAAAACCTCCGAGTATGCGGGGATTGTCGTAAGTTGTCCTTCACTCTTATTTGTTCATTAGTTTTTTGGTCTTATTATGTTAGATGAAACAACACGATTAATAGCATATATTCGTCAATGTGATATCCTGGTGAGAGATACAAACCGCATTCATCATTTTACTAGAGATGGTCAATATTCCTGCAAAAACTGTTTCTAAAGGTAGGAACTGAAGAATAACACATGAGTCATTGCATACCAGATGAATATCGTACTTAAATTTGTGTTTTTATCTTGAGCGACTTGTTAGAAGTGAAAGTAGATATTGACCTTTCCGGGTAAATAAAAATATTGAACTAGACACTGGATATAAACAACAGATTTCTGTTGAAATATCATGAAGTTATGCCGAAAAAAAAGACGATCGGTAACCAAATAGTACAGTTCGACTCGTTATACATGTTATCACTATAAGAAGCGAAGATTTAATGTGTGGCGCATAAAAGTAACAAATCGATTTATTTACTTTTGACGTAAAAGAAAACTTTTCCTTAAGTTTTGTTTTAGATGTTATTTTTCAACATGTCGATCCTTTTTCATCGCCATCGGAGACAATTATTGCATGGTAAATGGTGAACAAACAAGATTCGTCGTTTTTGTTAAATATATCAACTCTTGGAAGAAATTTTCTGAAATAAAACTCTTTACTATGAATGAATCAGTGCATATGAACCGTAACTTGGTTTATACAAAAATCTTCGTGCACATTGGATCACAGTGATCAAAATAAAACATCTTCTTGAAATCAACTCGCTTGATTTTTCCATATAAAGCAGTTGAATTCATTCGTGTGTATCAAAAAAGTGTTACAGATTTGATGTAATATACTTTCCGTGTTGATATCATAGAGAATCTGCATATTGTGAAAGAAGTAATCCGAGATATTACTCTTGAAGACTAGTAGAAGAGTAATATGTATTTTTGCTCACTCAAACCGAAATATAGGACTTCGATCGACGATCTTATGACTAAAACTTACTCTCGTTCTTTGTTTCTTGTAATGATAATTTTAGAAAAAAGTAATCACAGTTTCTTTTTTTTTCCGCGATGATAACAATTCCTTGTCTGATTAGACATATGTGTATAAGTTTTTCAAATGACATCTGACAATATTTCTTGTCTAAAATTAACATTTAAAAAATGATGAATTCATTCTTTTTCTTTCTAAATATAACTTTTATTCACGTCATCAAACAGTGAAAAAGTTTTTCATTAGAAACTAAAACATGATCATTTATTCTTAAGTGAAATTTTTATAAATAGCACAAATATGTAATTCAGAGTGTTTAACTCATCTTTTTCACAACGTTTCGACTATAAATTCAACAGTTCCCATTGGTTTCATCATGCAAACTGAATCACATTACTCCACTATACTATTAAATTATGAACTTTTCCCTTTTGTTTAAGGCACGCTTAGAGTCGTTGTTTTGAACATCAATTTTACTTACAAATTATCGCGATAATCTGCGAATAGACGATTCTTCTGTATCAGATTTTGCTAAAGTGCTATTCTTTTGAGTGCAGATATGTTTTCTCTGCTGTTTTCATCACGAGATATATGCAGATTGTATAAATATAATCGGAATAAAATTTCTGCTGTCGCACACATCGATAGTTTCCTTTTTCCATCGTCTTATTGCTTGTTTTTCCTCATCTTATAACCCCAAACAGACCGTCGATATGATAATAATCAAAATAATAATAACAGCAAAACATTGACAGTTATATGTATGTTTTTGCTAGGAAATATCTCATTTTTCATCATAGATCAACAAAACCCATCGCTATTTTCCTCTAATGATGTACACTCAGTCTTATCCTATTTCTCATCAATAAATGATTCTATCCATTCCAAGTAGCTTGTCATCGTTCGAATCGAGATCTTTCTTTTCCTCCTCTTTTCTCTCCATCGTTATGTTGTTGTCGTTCCTTGATGCTATCGCTATTGTTACTATCATTCGTACTGATGATGAGCAGCGCATACAGACACGTTATTTTCATCTAATATTAACATGATGCGTGCTGACTAGAAGAATGTTGCTAAACTGTTAATCTATTTCTTAACTCTCTTAAGAACAAATTACTGTCTAGGACACATATCAATGCTCAGTCGAAGGTCGATTAATAGACTGTTACATTAAGAATAGACAATGATGTAGATCTGACTCGCTTTGAGTGAGTATATAACTAAGTAGAAAAGACAATGTTGTATAGTTTGTCTATCATTTGATTAGTTTTTCTAAACTATACTGTCTGACACACATGTGTTGGATATCAACCAGAAAGAAAGAGAAGACAGCAAGTTTGGAATATATAAAATGTGTCTCATATGGTTGATTAATTGTCTATTTGTAAACGTTCGATATTCCTATAGAAACTATTCGTTTTACCTTTCTAGTTCTTTTTTCTTCTTATCGGCTCTTTTTTTCCTCTTTTCTTCTCTTTTCGGATCGGAAAATGTTTCCTTCTTCTCTCGGCTACGTCGTTTTCTCTCACTTTCCATCATCGATTTTAGTATTTCTTTCTTTCTCTTTCTCTTCATACGTGAAATGAGTCTGAAAGAAAAACTAAACTCTTCCATTCATTTGTTCATTTTTTAATAAGTATCTCGACATCTAATTACTATATTGCCATCTACTCGTTATTGCTACTATTACAAACCCTTGCATTTGTCTTTCGTTATCTTTTGTAATAGAGATCCTCAACAGAGTAGTGGAAAAAGGCAAATAAGTAAAGAAAATAGACGATTCTTTTCGAGTTAATCATCATGTTGAATATGATCAATATTTCTTCCTTCTACTAGATATTCAATTCATTAGCTTATTTAAAACAGTTCGATCACAATATCTGTACACGACAACATCATTTTTTCCATTTCTTCTTATCAAGAACAAGTCAAATTCGTGAGTTGCTGATAGACGCATCAAATTTATTCAGTATTCAGCTCCCTGGATGGTTCTTTATTATGGCTTGTTGGCTCTTGAGACAGCTAACAATACGATTGCCGCAAATGCAACTGCTACATCAACAACAACCATCCCACGAACGTCTTCATCTGATCGAACGAAGCTATCACGGAAGCAGAAATACTTATCAAATTCTGTCGGTAAAATGCCTTCATCTTCACTATCAACATCGAATTCATGGATTTATACGGAAGATTTAAGAAAACGTTTCGAAGAACGTTACATTGACTGTCGTTACGTTTTCGTGCCTGTATATATTGACTCCAAATCTTCTCGTCGTAATCGTAGTACGAATATTATTACATCACAAAAAGTCGATAATGAACATTCTTGGATGTATTCGAGATCACTTCGCGATCATTTGTTTTATTCCACATCGAAAATCTCTCTTCCGTTAACAACGAATATATCTTCATCAGCATGTTGCGTAACGAATCATGGATTTATGCGCGATGAACATCCGATAAAGAAAACATTGAAATCGAGATTATTTAAACGTTCGTCGTCAACCAAAGAAAACTCGACAAGGAATCTATCATCATCGTTTCGATCGTTTACGTCATCGACATCATCATTTCCTCTGGCGACTAATCATCTTGGAAAACATCGAACAAATGTAGTCGTTGAAGAAGAAGATGACGAAGGTGTTGACGATGAAAATCATTCAGCTCCACTCATTAAACACGAGTATGTATGTAAATACTGAAAAGAGTGAAGAAAATATTCGAATAATGAAGTAAAATAAATATTTTCCGGTTAAATTGATAAATAATTGACTATTGACACTCGAAAGGCGACTAGAAAAAGAGGGAAGATCAATATTTTCTCAGTCGATGATATCAACAAGTTTTGTTTTTACTCAGTATAAAAAAAAGACAAGAACGGAAAATAATGAGTTCTCTTTTTTTTTCTTCTGCTTCAAGATACAAAACATTTTCTTCCCCAGGTAATTAACTTCACACGATTACATTTGTTTTTCGCTTCAAGTAATCATAATCTGTGGAAAGAATATAAATTTAGAACAAATTAGTCGTTTTCTCAAATCTGCAAATATTAATCAGCGATTCTTTCATAGCAACGTGAATCTAATGATGCTCTTTCATTTAGTTCAACAATTCCATCGTTATTATCAACATCACATTCAGTTAGTGTATCATTAGCGGAAAATAATTCTCTGATTAAACCGTCGCCGACGAGTGACTTGACTTTGCTAACAACGAATAAACAAACGATGCCACGGAAAAACCGTTTGACACGTTTGCGATCGTTTTTCTTCAAATCGTCTTCACATTCTCAACAACATAACACGCTGTCAACTTCGTCGTTGTCTAATCGAATCCTGACGACATGACGACAAGCATCAACATTCAACTAATCGAGAAAAACAGACGAATTTGGTATTCGAATGGCTAATCGAATTTATGTCTTCTCGTTTTGTTCAAATAGAATATAAGGAGAACGAGAGAGAGAAAAAAAAGAGAACAAAATGCTTTTATTGTTAAATAACAACAATTATTTATTGAATCGATGTGATTATGTTGTTTTTATTTCAGAAAGAAAACAGGTTACCATTAATCATAGAGAAAACAAATAACAATGTATCATCCCTCAGGTTTTTTGTAAAAATATATTTTTTACTAGAGAAGAAAATCTCAGACCATTTTCTTTGCTTTAACACGTTGCACTATATAGCGGTAACGAGCTAGACATTCGTCACGTGTTTTGCCAGGTATACAAAGTGCAATTTGTTCCCATCGATCAGCACCAGGCATATCTTTTGGCATTGTTTTCAAAGCACATTCCAGTAAATGTTGATCAGTTTGTGACCAATCAGCAGCCGAATCTAATGTAGCTCGTTCCGTAATTAAATTTTGATCGATTGTAGTCGTCGTTGTTGAATATGACGATGGATTTTCTTGAAATATATGATTAGTGTTTGATCCAACTGTGTTTTGAATTTGTTTGGCCATGTCAGTTACTTGTGAAACGCGACGACCGAGAACTTCAGCGATTTTTTCCCATCGTCGTGGTGTGCCCGGTGGAAATCGAACAATAGTTTTACAGAGTAATTGCTTTTCTTCATCGGACCATGAACGAGTCGATTTGCGCACATCTGATGAGGAATTTGTTTCCGTTGGCGATACAGGTGTGGAGATGTAGGGGACAATGGGTGCATTCGGGTTTGTAGCCATTTCAGGTACTATGTCATTCATACGAACGACAGGCGATTTCTTAACCATTGGATAATCAGTGTCATTCGCATTTTCTTCATTGTCAACCGTAGACGATTGAGTAGAAGAAGATTTAGAGCGCGATTTAAGTATTGATTGGAGAAGATTTTTCATATATGGTATTAAAAACTGATGATCGATCAAGAAAAACGCGAATTTGATTGGTAGAATGTCGACGAACTGAGGTGCTTTGAGAACTGGAATAGAAAGAAAATCGAGGACACTTACGATTCGATATGAAATCTTCTACAAGTATTTGTATTGTCTAAGTAAGATAATGATTTTTTTGACATGATGTGACAGATTATCATCTTAAGAAACAATTGAACATGATGAACTAACCTCAGCAAAGATTCTTTTTCCTCTTCAACTTTCGGTCAACATGTTCCTTAGCCTATTGAATAACTCTATCAATGATAAGTTTCGAAGTACCTGGAATAATCTTCGCCATTTCTTCTTCAACCATTGTCTGATCAACTTCTTTGATTTTATTCGATTTCTTCATTTTTTTCTCCAAGCGTTTTCTCACATCCATCGATCTTTCATTCTGAAAGCAAAAAAGCACTCACGTCAGAAATTTTCCATCTCGGTCAAGCAATCTTACTTCACCATAGCTAAAGTTGATTCAAAATAGATTGCCCAGAGCACCAAATAATGACCAATCGTCATAATAAAAGTTAAAATTGTTACAATTTCCCAAAAACGTAATTTTTTCGCTCGTCGAAAATAAAACATCGGTTGATTCCACTTCGGTAGACCTTCCACAAGTATTCGGTCATATCGAGCACGACGTTGATCATCTTTGAGCATTTCATAGACTGCGACAAGACGACGAAATCTTTCGCCAGCATCGGGTTCGTCTGATTTATCAGGATGCCATGATAGTGAAAGTTTTCTTTAAAAAATCAACAAAAACTCATTCTTCATTTCGGTCATTATTCAATGAAATCTTCAGTACCTATATGCTTTTTTAATTTCACTGACTTCGGCTGTCTTTTCAACACCGATGAAGTCATAAAAATTTGTATTCAAACCAATTTCTTCGACTAGATCGAACAGATCAAGTTCATAACTTTCCCAAGCGACGATGAGGTTGATTCGAATGAATAGAAAAACAAAACACCACAGGCTTTTCATCTGCAATGAAAATTTTCATCATATATTTTTATCCAAAGACAAGAAAAACTTGAAACAAAAGAAGACAAGTCGCGCTGATGTAAATGAAATATGTCAAAAATAAAAGAAAGAGGCAATACACAACAACAAGATTAAAATGACTAGGACACGATTGGAGACATAATGAATATTTACAGTTCTCTTTTTGTAAAACTGACTAACGATACACGGTTAAATTATTGGTTTTGCTTCGATTTTCACGAGACAACATTCAGATTATACAAAGCATTTGTTTTTCTAGCATTAAAATGAGCGTAAGTTTATATTTTGTGTCTATTTTGGTTTGTTTGCTTGGCTTTGACCACCGTCACCTTCATCATCACTCGATTCTGAAGCTCGAAGATTATCCGGATGTTGCGCAAGTAAATTAGCTTCGCGAAATTGGAGAACACTTTCAGCCGGAATAGGATTACCATGCGGATCCATGACCATAGGTTTAATTAAACCTTGCCTAAATACAAGATTACATGATGAAGACAAGAGGTAGAGAATAGCGAACGTGGCTTACGTCATTGCACGATCTAATGTATGAACAAGTTTATCAACTTCCACCATTTTGCGTTCTTCAGTCCAACCTTCGGTTGGATCTTCATGACGTTTAACATTTACACGACCTGTGACCGGATCAATTCTAAAATATTTCGCGTGAAAGGATTGTTATCGAACTAAATATGTCTGTTTACCCATATTGATCACGAATCTTCTTATAATTTTCCGTATCGGACTCATCTGAATCACTTGAATATTGATCTTTGTTTGTATTATGCTGAGGACCAAGAAGACCAAAATCGTAGAGAAGACCAGCTGCATTTCCATAACCTGTATATTTGATTAACCGATCCACTAGAACAAGCAAAATCGTCAATCATTCTTTCTTTCTTCTTCGTCCGTAGACTTTGTCTTACCACTTTCTTTACAGAGGACAAATAATAATTTCGCCGACAGAGTTTTTAATTCCGAATTCGGATTTGTCATCATACGCGTTAATCTATTAATATGAAAATGATTTCAATGATTCATGTGTTTCAGAACTTCGTTCGTTTTACTTATTTCGTAATTTTTGACCTTCGGTCGGTAAATTCAAAACTTCGTCACCAAGCGGTGGTAAGATAAATTGTCGACAAAATTTCCGTATTGTCCGATTTGATTGACACATTAGGATGAGCAGTTGAAGAACAGGTAACAGAGCATCTTTCGCATTTTTCGTTCCCTGAAATTATTGAATTGTATAGTAAAAGAGGAGAAGATTAACCTCGTGTTCATACTTCAGTTTTTGTGATACGATGATCAAGAAAACGAAGGATTATATTAATTGCTTCCATATTTTTTCCATTATGCTCATCGTTTCCATTTTCATCTTCCAAAACCGCTGGCGAAAGTAATTCTTCAAAGCATGTTTTCGGCATGTTTGTCAAAAGATTAATGATATGACTAAGAGAAAAGCAAATTTACTCTCGAAAATCGAAATAAAACCAACAAATCGAACTCACTTTCGTAAATCCATTTGTTTTTCATCGTTGGGCCCATAACATAAGAGTAATTCACGAAGAATACTTACTAATCTCATTAAATGTCCTTCTTCTTCCTCTTCCTGTATAGCATACGAATGCGTTAAGTTCGGTAAATCAACAGTGAGATTGTAAAGTGTTTTCAAAATTTCGATTAAATAATCAATATCCTCGTTTGATAATGTAACACCTAAAACAAAGAAGAATTGCCTGAAATCCTCGAATTGATCAATGATCATATTATACGCTTGTCAAAGTAAATTTCACTTCGCAGAATTTCTTCTCTGGTTACGTCTTAACTTGCAAACGAGTTGTTGATTAGAGCGTACTGAAGAGAGAATTATCATATATTTTACGCATTTTGTGTTATATGACATTGGCCTGAGGCGATGAAAACTATTTTGCATCCTGGAAAGTGCTCGAAGACTTTTGTCGTATTTAATTTTATTTTGATTTAACCTGACATGGAAGAAGAAATTTCAGAGTAAATACACTTCAACAAAACTTTTCACAGATTCTTAATCTTTGCACTTGTTACGATAGTTTATCAAATTTCAGATCTATCGAATGTTCTCGACTCTGACAAAGTCTCAACAACAGTTTGTTCAATCGTTACAAGGCACTAAATTCTTCAAGGAAAATTCAAATCAGCTCTGAACGAACCTGAATCAGCTGCAGCAACTGGTTCACTTCTTGACGACATGATTTGATTGATTATTTCGAATAAATAGGAAAGGCCATGAAATTTTTCTCGAACGCGTTGTCTAAAAACGAAACGAAATCGTTTTATTTTATTTTCCAAACTCCTACCTTATATCAGCATTGAGAGCAGTAAGAAGAAAAAGCATTCTCATATCAAAAAATCGAATTCCATCGTCTAATTTCGTCGCCGTTGTTTCTTTAATACGTTGGGTTATCGCATCAGCTACTCCACTAACGCTGTAAAATTTTTGCACAGCGGGACTCATATAAATCAAATTCGACATGCATTTTTGTGCTTCAATAACATCTAAACAGAAACAACTTTGACTAAAATTCACAAAACACATTGCAAAAGTTTACTTTGAACATCAACGGGATTAACATCCACTTTGGTACATTCTAAACCAGCTAATTTTTGCAAGGGTTCAAGCACCGATGATCCAGTAAGTGCCTAAAGTTGAAGAAAATGAAAATCAATGGGTTGAGATGGTAACGAATTTTACATCAAGTCCTTCACGATCGCGTGTCAGTAAACGAACTGTTTTTAAACACAGATGAGTTGCATTGGAATTAAATGAACGTAAGCGGCTGAATAATTCAGTAACGAGTCGTTGTTTTTTCTCCAAATCAAGGTGAGGAAATGCAAAATTATTTGCATTCTAAATAAGACTCATGTCAAACAGAACAATTCTTTAGTGACATTCTTTACTTTTTCATAGAATTTTTCAATTAAGACCAAATATTCATCATCAGATAACGTATCAAATTTATTGAAGTCGTCATCTGATGAAGCCATGACCAAACGTTCTCTACAATGCTGAATACGAAGATAAACGAGTAATTTGATCAAGAATCTAATCTGAATGTAAACAAAAAGGATGCTAAACCTTATGACTCAGAGTCGAGTAAAAAAAATAAATAATAAGCATAGATTAATTAGTCGAAATCATCACTTTAAATTAATTTATTCGAAGAAAAAAAGCTTTTCTCACAGATGAAAGGAAAAACAGATGAATTATTCGAAAAAAAAAGAATTAAAAAAACAAATTTATCAGCGACATCTATATCCTCCATTCCGTTGTCTTGCCAACTGAATTAAATCGAAGAATTCTAAAGATTCATTATTACCGAAAACATGGCTCAGAATCTGGATGACATCGGTGATAATCGTAAGTATTCAACAAAAATCGGCCAACAAACTGAGACAATTGACTGATTATTTAGCTCAAAGTGAAGATTTCTTTGATGACCGAAGTGTGCAATCAGCTCATTCATTTGTACAAGATGACGAAGAAAATGTTCAACGAACTTCGAGTAGTCTCAACAATTATTGTATCTTACCACCGATTAAATCCACAACGAAAGAAAATAACTCTCAACAACCATATTTCATCAAGCAATTACAAGATAAATATCAATCGGAAAAGAATGGTCCGTAGAGAAATCAATCTTGTTGTAGTAATTCTATGTTTATCTATAGATCCAGGTGAGGTGGAAAATGAAGCCAAATTGGACGATGCTTATTTGAAAATGAAGCGACTCGATCGAGCACTTGAAGAAGCATTCGAAAAAGAGAAACAAGTGAAAATTGAGACAATGTCGTTAATGAAAAAGTAGATTTGATCAAAACAAATGAATAGAAATGATCGAATTGATTTTGTTCTAGATTACGTAATGAAATGCAATCAATGGGTGGAACTATTCGTGATGATACAAATGAATTATCTCATGCTGAATCTAATTTACGACGATTTTTAGCGCTTGACGATGAGCTTTTACGATTAGATGGTTATCCTAATGAATCGAACAATCCTCATTCCACCGAATCGATATTTAAAACTCAACTAAACGATCCACTCGATGATTCTCACAGTACACACAAAAGTGAGAAAGGTTCTGTACATCATCCGAACGTGTCCTCCGTCAACTCCAAGAAAAAATCTAGTATCTCATCAAATTCCACATTGAATAATAAAACCAAAATGAAGAAAGACAAAATGCCTCCACCAGAAAAAGATTTTATCAAACGTAATATTCAATTAGCCAAAGAAGCCGGTGGAACATGGGCGTTAACCGACGATGAAAAACAACGTTTAAACCAACTATTAAATGAAGATGAACAAACAAATGCCGTGGCATTGGCCAACGAACAAATCAATGGCTACATTCCCTCATTCAATGAAAATCAACGGTTGAAAGAAATTGATGATTTATTAGAAAAAGAATATTACAATCCGTTGCTGAATCATCAATTACGAAAACACAATGATACGAATGATATTGATTATAGTAGCATGCAACAAATAACAAATGAAGAAAATGATCAACTGGAAAATCAGTTTGGCGAACGAACATTGAAAGAAACACGTTTACAGCGCGAACATACGCAACGATTGAGACAAATTGATGAGAAATTAGAAGATTTCCATCGGTCGACGACAGACGATCGAGTCGAAGCTATTCTTTCCGAAGAACAATTAAATGAATTACTTGGTAAGTAACAATTCCAATGAATCGAACAGAAACGTGATTGACTCATTGTAACCTTGTAGGACAATGTGCAGTTGATGAAATGAAAACTCGATACTCATTGTTAAATCGCGAAAATTCAGATCAACAGGCAATCGATTTCGATGGTCTATCTAATTATGCATTAACACATTATGTTGAAAATACTCGAGGACCAATGATAACCGATGAAATTATTCAATTATTGCTAAATGAAGCCCAACAAGAAGGTATAATTATGCGGCAATTTCCCGATGATGAAGATAATCTTGAGTCTTTATCACAACAACATGCTCAAGCTTTACTATTTACACCTGCTATTGATCGACCTTCTTCATCGACATCTATTGCTTCGCATATTGAACTATCCGCTCGTAATCTCAAATGATTTTGTTCGATAATCTGCTGATAACTTTTGCTCCGCTTGAGATTCTCATTACTTTCCATTGATAAACCATCTGTTTGTTTCGTCATTTAGAAATCATGTGATACATACAGAGTGCATTCATGTTTGAAAGGATATTAAATCGACAACGCAATGTACTATCCCAAGATTTTCATAATACTGTGATCGAAGTGCAAATTTGCTGCATGGATTTTTGAGTCCATCATTGGATTTCGTAAATGAACACAGAGATCTTCGTGTCATCTTGTAATCAATCAACTATCCTTTCGCTATTCACAGAATAAATATAGTAAATCTATCTCCAAGAATTCACAATGTTTTGTCATGTGTACATACAACAAAAATATTTTCTCAGCTGAAACTATAGGCAATACTTCTTATGAAGACATCAGTCACATATCTTTATATCAATGTTAGTTATATTGGTAACATTCCGTTTATTATCGTTGTCAAGGTCTGCAGGACTATTTTCGATTTAGAAACTAAGATTTTAGTGTGAAGCCCAATTGAAAGACAAGATGACATCGTGTTTTTACTACACAACGTCATATATATTCTATTCTAATGGGCAAATTATCTAGATAATTGCGTTTTAGTATGTGAAATAAGATACATTGTCATGTGATTCCGTGTATTATCATAAGTATTACTTAGAAACATGCGTATAAGCATGAATTCTTTGGGAAATTATTGTACTAGATTCAATTAACAGATAATCCCTACTTGTGAGTAAGATTTAGAAAATGATCAAAAAACTTTTAACAATTGATTGTTAACGAGTTAGTTCACGAGAATGTAGATGATCAATATTCATCTAGGAAATCGAAGAAAACGAGTGCATTATTGTAGAACTTAAATAACGGCAAATGACTTCAATGAATTATTCATCAATATCGTAACGGCGAAGGAAAAATCCATCTGCCGAACTTCTAGATCATTTTTTACCATTATTGTGACAAAAGAAATGGAAAGTCAAGCATAGGAATCGTAGCAATTGCTTTTTATCGTCAATATCGATTACATAAGCTATTACTTCTGTACTCTTAACATGTTTACGCATAACCGACGAGGTCGACAAAGTTGAGAAGATTATATTCAAATTTACGTATCTAATTAAGGGGTTACTTTTATCAAATAAATAAACAATAACAAACAGTTGGCTTGTAATCATTTGTTTGCCTTATTAGTCGAGAATCATTCCAATAATTACATCGTTTCCAATCAGTTCCTCTGCGAAGTATCGATGATTTGTCAGACCAGATGCAGAAAGATCTCAGACAGTATCACTGGGGTTTGTTCACAGCGATGTATACATTACGTTTGTCTGTGTGTGTTCTGTAAATCTGATTGAATGCTCGATAAAACTTATCGTTTGTTATGTCTGTCAAAAGTTTATCTCACTATATGATCAAGCATCAAAGGCGAATAGCGATCGTTCGATTCTATTTTGGCTCATCAAATATTTACTTAACTCTTCATTATAAGTTTCCAGTTGCAAACAATAATAGAGCTAGAATTTTTAATTAGAGAGGAAAAAACTGAAGAAGAAAAGCTTAAAATTTCATTAAGAAACAAGAATAGAAAATATCTTTCTAGTGAACACTTTTCATGTCAATGAGTGTCATGTAGAATATAAAGCACGTCAATGCTGAAAAGCGAAGAAAGAAAGAAAGAGAATATTATTACTCGCAATTGTTCGGTCAATGTTATTATGCAAAAATGTAATATGTCCGACATGAATGAGACTGTTGGATTCATCATTCATCGTGATGTTTGTTTAAAGACGTCAGAATGAATCGAGCGAGATATACATTCGCTAATTGTCGAAAAGTTTTTTTCTTGTAAGGCTCATTTGTTAAATAAACTAAACAAGGGAAAAACATAGTTTATTCGAGATGCTAAGTCAGCCATATTCTACATATAGAAATCTATTCGAGATTTTGTATAGAACACAGAAGAAGAAGAAAAAGAAGGAGAAGCGAGAAGAGCGTCGTTAGCAAGTATATTAAGTATTCCGCAGTTCGTTTTTACAATTGTAAGTACATGTGATTTGGAACAATGAAGTCTCATGTTTTCTATTCAGCACTTCGCGATCATATTTTCACTTTGATGACTATGTCATATCAAGAATTTTGATTATGAATTACAAGATTGCCTTTGTATATAGATGAGCAGAAAGTCATTGTTGAATGTCAGGACTTTTTAATTCAATACTGAATGTCGTTTGATGATAATGAATGAAAGAATATTCCTCATTTAGACGTCTAGCAGGTGTGATATTGCGTAGGTTTTTCCTACGTAAAAATATCTCTCATTTCTTTTTGTTTGAAAAGAATGTGGTAAGGAAGATCTTCTCGAGAAGTACAATAACAAGTGCCCATTTTCTTTCGTTTCTTCAAGGGTATTTTTAAAACAAATAAATAAAAATCGTCTGATTACTTATCACTAATTATTTCCACTCACTTAGAGCTATATCTCTGGTGTATTGAAGAATTCTCTTACTCCATCATTCATTGTCAATACCGAGAGATAGATGATCATGATGTCATTCGATGAAACTTGTTCTTTGGATTGATAAGACAGATCAAATACTTCTTCACGAGACAAAGTATTCGATCATCAATCCTAGTTGATAGTTTTTGACACTTGTTCTTTTCTTAATAGATAACTTGAACCCGATTTAGACTGAATTTCGTTTCTATTGATAAGGAAAATCATGATCGACTTGAGTGCATATTTCTCCATAGGAATAGAGACAATCCGACGGTCGATGTGTGCGTGTGTGCATTGGTACAATTAGATGGGTGTTACATCTCGCTTCGCGACTGAAGAATAACATTAATAATCGCAACAAGCAAATTTAGTGTGCAGCACGGCGATTGTCTCGTCTCTGCTTGCACTTCTTGCCTCCCGCGCATGCGAGGGCGCATCTTTTTCTCTTCTTTCTCACTTCTCTTTCACGAATGCCATTGCTGATGAAAGAAATAAGATTGACACGCCATAAATGCAAAGCATAGATTTACACGCAAGACATAGAGAGAAAGAGAGACATACACACATCGAACATCTTTATAGTACGGAAAGAAGGAGAGAAAATTCAACATCGCACGCAACGACTCGTTCCAGCTGGTTTATACGAGTTCAGAGACATACATAAATACTCACATATAACATTCTCTCCTCTCCTTCTATCTTTATCGTTTGGCTTCTTCTGTTGTATTATAGATGGTCTCTGCTTATCGGGTCGAATACATCATATAGAGTTGTTAATTGTTCATCCGACAAAAAAAAAGAGAGCGAGAATTCTCCATTGTATCTTTGGATGTAACGTACATGTTTAGATACATACTTATTCATTCATAAGAATCAATTGCACGTCTATTTTCAGTAAGTATTCTCATTAAAATATTCTGTTCACTTCTATGTACAAGTTGTTTTCACTGAACAGTGTTTATTTTCTTTGACAAAATGAAATTCTATCTCAGAATATGATCATAGTAGTAGAAACATTGTCGTACATATAATGAACGACATTCATCGATTCTCTGTTTTAGTATAAAATCTTCGACTGCAATTACTGTTACTTAATGACTTCAGCTGATCCAACAACAAATACTTTTACATTCACAGGTAAGCCTCAATTAACAAAGTCGCGTTCGTGACTCGTCACCTAGTTATCCTGACACGTTTTCTTTTGAATCTATAAACGAACAAATTGTATAATGCCGAATGTATCGAAATCTATTTGCTACGATTGCCATCTGTCAAAAGTACCGATGTAGATGTCGCAACATACTTGATCATCTCATACAGATTAATATCACTGAAATGTCACTCATCTTTTCTTTATTATCGAATTTGGATAATATATTCTCCGATTTCAACATCTTATTACACACATCACGTCTAAATTCAAACGTATTGCGTTTCATAATTAGCGAGCACGTGAATGTATATTTATAAATAAGTGTGTCACTCGCTTTGAAGTTGAGTTCTTTTCGGTTTTCATGACTTCTACATTGAGGAAATAATCAACCTGCTATAAATAAGACTCGCTGACCGAAAAAATCGCCGCACATTTCTGAATAAGAGTAATGTACTAAGAGATAAGAGATATTTTCCGTGTAATACATATATTATTCATCCTGTGAAAATCCTAAAGTCATTAAAACTTTTTTCTCCGTTATAATGCTGACAAATTATTTCATGTTTTCTTTTCTCTGAACACACCTCGAAAGCCGTTAATCGTGCTTCGAGACAGCATTAGTTCTTCTTCTTTCGTGTCATTTTATTGCTCTACTTGAAGCATTTTTTATATAATATACATTTGATGAAAAAAAGAAGAATTACTTTTCCTTTTTACTCATCTTCAACTCATTTCGTCGATCATCACTCGTTCTCTTTTATGGAAGAGTAAAATAGGCTTTCTTCAAATTTGAATTCATCGCATCAATAATTCAACATCTCAACAGATAGTGAGCAATATTCGTTTTGACTCGAATGAAAAAAGATCCATAGTATTTGTGTATCACTCGATCATTGTCTCATCTAGTGTACTCGCCCACCAGGCAATATATGGTTTCCCTTTCGTCGTGTTTACACAAATCTGGCTAAATGATGATAGTAGTGAAACATGCATAAAATGAAGCAATATGGATGGAAAAATGTCGTTTGTACATAGAACGTGTGCATGAGGAGAATGTTCTAAAGAGAAAAGATAACAAGATTCCTCATTTTATGTTTTCCTTTTTTTCCCTCCTTTTCCGCCTATCAGCTCGCCGATCCAATCACGAACGACAAAACCCCAGCAACAACAGAAGAGGCATGCGACATAAACAGATGAAGGAATATACTGCTATGACTGTTGTCATTCTCCTCTCTTCTTGTCATCATAGTTTTGTTTGGTTGTTTCTTGTGCATATAATTAGAGGCGACGATTCTCCAACCCCAACACATATACACATCGAGTGAGATATATACACAGACGTAAGGACAAGATTCCTTTTATCACGAACATCATAATCGCTGTCGTCGTTGTATCGTAAACGCGAATACATCCTTTATCCACTTCCGTTGTTGTTTTCTCAAAGTCCGTCTAATGACGGATGATCGACCGGGCCATCATTAGAGAAGAAAAACTATAGGGAAAGAAGAAGAAGAAGAAGAAGAAGAAGAAAACGACAACGACGAAGAAGAAAAAAGAAAAGGAAAGAAGAGAGAAAGTACCAACACCATCACCAACATCACGGCCGTTAGTAATTAGAGAGTTCTGTGCACATATGCGCATGTATACTTATTATTGAAAGAAAAAGAAGAAGAGAGAAAAGATCTAGTTCGTGTATAAGCACCGCTTGATCAGGAAGAATGTTGATGAATTGTTGTCCACATTAACAATAACCTTGATTGGCTTAAATTGATCAAACAAACGCGCCGAACTTACAAAACGTAGAAATCTAGCAAACATGGCCCGTCATCCGCCTTTTCCTCGTTTTCGACTCGATCCCGAATGTAATGGCGACCAAAGTATTACAGGTGCACATGCCACTTCGGATATGCCTCAATCATATCAAGAACAACAGCAGAAACAATTACAACCACAAAGATACCCAGTTCGTTTTCGTCGTTCGGCTTGTTCTGATTTACAAAGTTCAACTATACCGGAAGGACGCATCTATAACGATAATCATCGTCGCGCAAGTCTTTTTCTTGATCGACCGTCTGAACCGTCCCTAACGAAAAAACCTCTGTCGGTATTCGACGAAGCACCAAGCGAATGTGACTACATCAAACAATGCCGACAAAGATGTCAGTCACTCTATGGATCATTGCCCAGTTCCACTAGTGTATCCGCGCCGGTATCGCCATTGATTTTAAAAGAAAGTACATTGATACCTAGTGACGACGAAGCTGATGACGACGACGACGATGTTGAAGTAGAAGAGGAAGAAGACAACAATGAAAATGATGAACCCGAAGAAGATGAAGATGAACAATGTTTTGATAATACGGCTACCAATAATTTTCGTCATTCATTACCTGATACATCGCCGGCAGGATTAGCGATACGTAATTTTCTGAAACGTAATAAATCAACAAATAATAACAATAATAACAATAATAACAATCATCATCATCCTCGCCTCGGCGTACCGTCACAGTCATCGCAGTCATTATGCTCATCTTCCTCATCTGCTCTAACACCTTCTCCTTCACCATTATCAACATTCCGTAATTTTCTTTCTCTAGTTAAACTACCGTCAGCATCATCTTCGTCGGCAACAACAACATCAACATCAACAAAATCAATTATCTCAACAGCATCATCTACGTCAACAACTCCACACCATTCAAGTTTAACTACATTAACAGGTACAGCGGGTGGATCATCAACAACACTTGATCAAACAGCATCATCTCTTTCATTAAAAAAACGATCCACAACCAGCGTAGACGCTCAATCTCCGTGGTATTTTGATGTAAGTGCCTAGATATATATATATATATACATGTATATGTACACACGCAGACACACCGAATAAATTGCTAATTACAGGACCAACTGCTGTTATTCCATTCAGAATCCTTGCTGCTAGTAAAATGTCCTATTTATGCGATACATCGTGACACGCCAAAACACAGCACTACTCATAGACATTCAGATATTGTAGTCAAATAGTTGCAAGAATAACAGAAGAAGAGAAAAAAAACAAGAGACCGAAAAGAAAAAGCGCTCCAGTAGTAATGTTAACAATAGGCATATGACGATTACTTGTCTATACATTTCATCTAAGTAGACGCCAAACTTATTAATACCATAATAGAAGGACAACATTTAGTTCTCGAGCGAAGAAAAAGAAAACTACGAGATAAAATAATCTCTATTTGCATTAGCAGTGAATATGATCTGTATTTATCAGAAGAATAAATATAAACAACGAGCTCAAAAAAAGATAAATCTAAATGACAAAAAAAACAAGATAAAATTACTCATCTCGACTTGTTGATCGATTATTTATCTTGTTCGATCTCATTTGTGATGCTGAACATATGCTTCCTTTTTATCCACAGATTTTTCCTTCTCCTTCCTAAATGCTCACGTTTATCAATAAACATCTGCTTTCTATCGATACGTATCCATACACTCACAAACGAGATCGTTACGTCAACTTCGTCTGTTCTCCTTCTGATTCGATATCAATTTCGATGTTATTATTTAGAATGATAAATCTCAATGGTGTTCAGCTGATGGAACAAGTTTCATTACTCTAGGTCCAATCGAATTACATAATTTAACATATGCCGAACATAAACAATTGAAACGTCTCATACTTCAACGTCTACAAACGGCACAATATGATCTTGGTGTACCGATACATGTACCAAAAGGTAACGATTATGAATACTATTACTAATAGAGATGACAGTTGTCCGATTTACAAACGTGTACACGAATAATTCATAGCGTCGAGAGAAACACACATTGATAACGCGATTTTGCTTCCGACTAATTCTAACCGTTTTTCATTGAATTCTTATATATATGTATGACCTTGATTTATGATCGTATTACCCTAAGGAAAAGAGTGTCGTTTTGCCAAACATGTTCTTTTCTTACGAGACATACGCAAATGTAGATGAAAATAATCAAGAAAAAAAAAAGAAAAAGCAAGAGAACTAAATTAGATGACATTTACTAAATTATTCGCATTAGATAAATTAATCTCTATAGATAACAATCAGTCAATCGAACAAAGATATACAAACGGAAAAGAAATAATAATAATAATCATTAGTCTTGTTTTTCTCACTGAAAAATGATTTTCGAAACATAAATGACTAATCGATAGAATTCCGTTGGATTACTACTTTCATTTTCATTTGTTTAGAAGAACCTGTTCGAAAACGAAAACATCATTTCATGTTTCGTAGTAAATCAAGCGACAAATCCAAAGAAGCAAGAGGTGCCTACAATAATTTTGCATTGATCAGTTGAGAATCTTGATTGTATTCTAGAAGCGAAATCGAATGGCAATATTTTCGGTGTTGCGTTAGCTCAATGTGTTATTGACGATGATTTTCGTTTTCAAGATGAGACTATTTCGACTCCTTCGTCTACTACAACGACATCAGGTGTAGCGAATCGACAAGATAGTACAGATATAATTGTTATAACTACAAGTGATAGACGTACAAGTCCATCCGGAAGTGTTTCATCCACGAATGATAGTGGATATTCAATCTCTCCTGCAAGTCCAAGTAGTTTACATGTACGAAGAAGAATTTTTGATGCAAATCGTTATGAGAATATTGTATCTTTAGATCTCAGATTCTGACTATGAACAATTGAAACTTCGATCGTTATCACTCGAAGCCTTAGCAGAGAATGAAGCAGGTACTGGTGTAAATAGATGTAATACATTACGATGTTATCCAGCCAAAGTACCTGAGTTAATACAAAACTGCTGTGATTATCTGGAAAAGAATGGTAAAGCGAACCATTTATGAGAAAGACATTTTTCATTATTTGTCTCTCTTAGCATTACAAACTGTCGGCTTGTTTCGAGTTGGTGTATCGAAGAAACGCTTGAAAGAAGTAAGTCATTTGTCACAATCAACGATGTTGATTAATTTACTTTCCTTGCAGTTAAAAGAGCAGGTTAATCTCAATCGTAGCCTTACATTTGACGAATCAACAAATGCACATGATATAGCTGGTTTAATCAAAGAATTTCTACGCGAATTACCTGAACCATTATTAACACGCGACTTATGTGCGCCGATTCTCAATATTCCAGCAAGTATGTATTCTCAAGATGAACAAATTTCTTTCAATAGAAAACATTGACTATTTAGGATTGAATTCAAAAGATCAATCTCGTGCACTTGCGTTTCTTATTGCGTTGCTACCTTCGTCGAATCGAGATACTTTGTATACTTTATTAAAGTTTTTACATAATGTTTCGTTGAATGCCCAAGATCGTAGTTCAAATGATGGAAAAGTTGTCGTGGCGGGAAATAAAATGGATGCGGCAAACTTGGCGATCGTCTTCGCACCGACTATACTCATGGATGGAAAGGCACCGGTGATATCCAGTAAAGATATGAGTGTTGCAACAAGTGCTGATCAGATGGAACAAGGCAAAACTGTTTTGAAAATGATGATCGAACAGTATAAAGAACTTTTTATTGTAAATATTTCTTCATCTGACGAATGACAATTGCCTAATTATCAACAATTTTTTTAGGTATCAAAAGATTTACATAATCAAATCAGTCTGGCATTAAATGAATCAGATAATGTTCAATTAATGCGAGCATTGTCGTTCAAAGTGCAACAAGGTTGTGGGTAAGCGATAAGCAGAAGGAACGATAGGAATCTTATCAAAAAGTAAACATTTTCGCTTTAGAATACTATCCATGCAATTGGATGACGCCAATGAACGTCTTTTAATGTCACTTGATTTGACGGCAGTTCTATGTGAAACACCGAATGCAACAACAAGTATTTTCTCATCGATCATTCCTCAAACTAATCGATCTAATCAACAACAAGGAAGTACAGGCGGTGGACCTATACTCCGTCGGTACAATCATCGGCGAAATTCCGATTTTCCATGTTCATCTACCCATTCGTCACGTTCATCGGAGTTTCTGCAAGTTCCTATGTCATCATCTCAACAACGCCTTTCAAATCATAACCATCAATCTGTTTCGAAACTGCCACGTGTACGTGATATACGTGAGGCAAGCATCGATCAGATTATCTTTCGTGTTATCGAACCATTTTCATCTGTTATCAATGAACAGCAGCAACAATTAAGAAATGCAACTGAACCAATCATCAATGTTAGTTCATTCGATGACATGGTTGCATCGTCTATCATACGACCGAATACCTTAGATATCAAAGAATCACCGCCATCACCACCTTCATCACCAATACTCCGATCAGCTGCAACAGCAACAACAACAACTACTACTACAATAGCTGTCACCACTACCACAACACCAGCAACAACAACAACAACAACAGAACCGACTTTACGAGAAATCAAACCGTATTCCCGTTCGAAAACAGCTCCACTATCATCATCGTCCGGTGCTCACAATTTCCTAAGTGTAAAACGTCGAGAAGCACGCGATTTATGTGGATCAAGTTCAAATGACGATTCACCTTCACCTACCAATGGTCAACACAGTACTCTTGTTTAATTTGTACACATATGAAAACATATTTCTATCTGAGAAATACAATGAACTGAAAAAAAAAATTTAGTTTGTATTTTCTTTTTAGCAGACGTTTCTTTTTTGTCTTATTTCGACTATAATCTTGAATAATATAGCAGATTTTGTTTTTTTTTCTCTGTTTCGTGCGGTTATCCTCCGCCGTCAGATCCACTTTCAGCATTGGAATGTTAATGATCATTCTTGGAATATTCTTTTTCTTTCTACATTACTCAAGTTCGCATGTGCAAATGATACTCGATCTTGCGTTAATCTACTCAATCTATTATCTTCGGGCAAGAAATATTCGACAGTGCGATTTATTTTTTTTGCCGCGAAGGAATTCCATATGGAAAATGTTTGAAAAAGGAATTCGGGCGTATTTATCAACAGGATTGATTATGTCATTAGTTGCTCATTCCAGAGATAATCCAGATTGATATTCTTATCGGAGATGAACGAACTGAGAAACAGAAGACATAAAGACTTCTTTTTTTTCTTCTTATAATCACTGTCGATGACGGACATCCTTTCATGCGAAGTTCTATTTATTATTATGATAATCTAATCAATTAGATGATCATCATATGTAAATAAGAGAATCTTATTCAAAAATACATTGTCATCTAACACTACTATTCAAAGTTTTCTTTTATTATATCGAAATGTTACTGGTCTAAAAACTAGAGATCAATATGAGAGAAAAATTGACCATTGGAAATGGTTACTATGACTAAAATAGTGACTTTTTCTCAAAAGAAAAAGAAGGGAAGCTGTAGTTCAATTCATATGATATATTGTTAAGATTGTTCGAGTTCAATTAAGATTCCACCACAATCTTTTGGATGTAAGAAAATCACGGGCTTGCCATGTGCTCCAATTTGAGTCTTTTCAGTTAAAGTACGAATGTTCTGTCGATGAATATCTTTAATTGCGTTTTCAATGTTATCAACCTGAATGAAAATCGAAAATTTAATGAAAGTACAATTAATCGAATTTACTTCAATGCAAATATGATGAATACCACCGGTTTTGTTTTTTTCTAAGAATTTCTTTATTGGACTCTTTTCACCAAGTGGATGTAACAACTAAATATGTAAATAAATTCTTTTGTCTCATGTGTATTTAATGCGGTTTGAATATACTTCAATTTTTGTGTTACCAAACTCAACAAAAACTGTGTAAACACCATGTTCTTTCAATGGGACAGCTCCACTCACTGATTTTGCTCGAAGAATATTCTTAAAAAAGCTGCTGGCCTCGTCTAAAATCACACAAATATCGTTCATTCTATTCTATCATCATAGTCGTACCTAGATTAGGAACAGCGACAGCTAAATGATTGAGTCTGCCGAGATTCCATACACCCTTTGGTACATTCGCTGAAACCTACAAAATCGGAGACGATATTTTTGCAGCAAAAGACCGCATTGTCGTACGAACTGGTGTTTTATCAGTTCCGGTCGAGTTCAAACGAGCACTCGCTAACATCATCGTTGGTCGAATTGTTCGAGGAAGAATCTGTCGGAACGAATTGAGCATTTTGGTTTTGTTTGATCAATTGAATCTAAAACAGATGAAGAATCGTCTCCTTATCGCGTCGATTAATGTCAACAGGCGTGTTTTTCGACAAATAGAAAATCTGTTCATTCAAACAAAAACACGCCACTAGGGTGAAAACCAATTAAATACAGTTAACTTTTCGTCTATTAGAGAGATCTGTCTAATTACAATAAAATATCATACAAAAAAAAAGAGGAAAGATTTCATCGATTATTATGGTAATTATGTGCAGTTGATTGCACCGGCTAGAGTCATTCAGATATGACAGAAAAAGTAGAAAATCGCTTAAAAAATAGATGTGGAAAAACACACGTATAAATAAATAAATAATTAACCAATCAATATTCATTCATTGATTTTCTAAGAAAGATCGGATGGCGTTGGTACATAAAGTAATCCTGTCGTTTTGAAAACATCGATACCTTTGTGTAATAAGCAAACCCGTGAAGCATTATTCATAATCAGATTGTTGGTGAAATCAACTGCTTGTTTGTGATTTTTATTTCCAATAACAACTTTAACTAGGGAACGATGCTGATCGAGTAGGGTTTGCAAACGTGTATCGATGATACGGTTTTGATTGTCAAATGCTTTTTCATAGGCGATATTGACACTTGCTGGCAATGCTGATTTGATATAATCATCGGGCGAACGAATGTCGATGAGAAGAAGTTTGGATGTTTTCAAACTTGCTGTTGGTGCTTTTAAATCATTTAATTCAATTACATCATTTGCCGAAATACGCGGACACCGCTCGAATTTCAAGTCAGCTAATGGAAATGGATCCATGTCCTAGATAGAATAGACAGAAGATTAACAATCCCGATGAATTTGTATTGTATACGTACGAGTTCATTGTTGACTTGATAATTAGGTACATCACTGGCATGTTCGCGGTATGTACATGCACGTGGTGTTGAAGCAAATATATCAATTGAATCACGAACACAACGTTCAATATCGATTTCTGCAAAGAAATGATGTTTTATAACCGAGAAACGGTGGGAAAAAAGAGCACAAACCTGGTAATTCGGAAAATAAGAGAATACATTCGTTGAAATCAGCTTTCAACAATAAAGGCTTCAATTGTGTCAAAATAGCTACACCGATACAAAGCGGAAAGGATGAGCCGCCTAATAAAAGCATATCCCATAAGTGAAAGATTTTATTCAATGGAAATACATCTAAATTTAACAAATAAAAGTCAATTAAAAACTAAAATATCAAAAATACAAGGTCATTCGAACAGGAAAGAAGTCGTTTTTCTAATGATAGGAAATGAGTGGACTATTTCGAGATATTAAATATCTTTGCATGCTGATAATAAGAGGAAGGCTATTTCGCATCGACCGTAGGAATGATGTGGACGACTTCATGTTTACTTACGAGCAAAAACAGTTAGAAACCATGGAATTGCATAAAGATCTGGAATAAATCCGATTGTTTCTAATCGATTCGATAAATCTGGATGATGAAATGCGATTAAATGCGAAAAAACAGCTAAATATTCTACAACAAATCATTCCGACAAGTCTCGATTCTTTTCCGCAATGTAAACTGTATTCACTTACCATTTATAATCAATGAGTTATCTTTCAAAAAGAAATTATTTAAATATTTGGGTATAAACGCTGTTAAGGAAGCATATGCAAGTGCTTCATTATTGAAATTCAAGTAAACAAAAGGTGCACACAAAGAATCCAGACCTTGCCAATAGACTAAATTCGTATGACTAGCAATCCACGCCTGAAAATAGACATTTTCAATTTGAATTTAAACGCATATTTTTAACAAAACTTACTTTGAGAACATTTTTCATTCTTTGATGACCTTCCGGTGAAGATAAGAGTTCATCATACTGATGACAACGTGGAATGTCAACTTCAATTTGACGAATAACAGCTGGTGCAATATCATCTTTATTTATTCGATTGTACACATCATTAACATTACTCTACAATACTCAAGACATATTTTCATTTGAATTTCTAAGTATTTGTTTTACAGATATTTCAAGTAAAGCTGCCCAAGTGAATGCGCGATAGAGGGGCGGAATATCTTTTCGTGCTTCGGTATGCAATCGTTGTTTTTGATACGGATACGAAGCAAGGAGACGTTCAAACAAAGTTAAACGAAGAAACTAAATTCACACAAATAGACAGAAATTGAAAAAAATATCTTTGCATCGTTTTTTGTTTTACTTGATATTCAAAATCATTCTCTCGGACAGCCAATGGTTGTCGTTCGTACATTTGATCGAATTCCTCTTGACGCTGTTCAAATTCACAATCACTGAGAATGTAATCGAAAGATTATTTGAATACATTGTTGAAATATCGAAATCTTACCCTCCTTCAAGTAATGGATGAAGAATTTCAATTGGCATTTCATTAAATCGATTTTCGAGTTCTTTTAATGAAAGTTCATAAGATGTATCATCGAATAGAGTATTAATATCTCGTTGAAGTCCATAGACATCGCCATGATCAGTCACAAATCTAATCAAGAAGAAAATTCTTCATCAAGACAAGCAGAAAAGTTTGTTTTACTTGGAGATTTTACTAATTGATGGAGAAATTTTAATAAGACCAGCATTTCTCGACACAGTTGTTAGATCACCACCTGCCAATTTCCATAAATAATATATTTGATCGATCGTTCGACATCGAAATGGACTAGCTAAGAACGGGAAAGAAAAGGAAACGTTTTCAATGAAAGAAACAAAAACATAACGACGAACTATCGAGTTGTTTGAAATCACTCAAATCTAAATTATGATCAAGAACTGGCGTGACACCATTGAATAAAGTCAGTTGGAGTGAACGTTGAACTGGTGACACATACGATTTTGCATCTAAGTCTCGCAACAATTCAACAAAAGTTGGTCTAAAGAATGATAAACAATCTTTTTGTAAATACACAAGTCAAAGAATTCATCATTCATACGAATTCTGATCGTATATTTATATTTTCAAACATTGCACTAACCTATCTTGAACTTGAACACTCAAACATTTTCTTATCATTGGTAAAAAGAACTGGGTGGTATTTCGTTTCAAACGTTCGTCTTGATCCAATCCATTCTGTCGTAAAAGTATATCCAATGCACTTCGAACGTTTAATTTCAAACATCGAACGCTTGTTGACATTGGTACTGCAATCGGCTGTGAACCATACAATCTTTGACCCTAAAATTTCTGAGATGATCATTATCTCTATTCAATTCAAATCTTACCAAACATAATTCAAGTAAAATAATACCCAATGACCAAACACAGCTTTTAGCATTGGCAGGATCACTAATTTCCGATTCATAGGCACTGTTACTAGCAGCAATAAGTGCTTTGAATGCTAAGTCCAATGTAAAACATTCAGGTGCGAGATAGAATGGATCTCTAAAACAAATTAATGAAAAACATTGATCGAAATGGTTAATTTACCCAATAGGAAATGATACACATGTTCCATATTGTGTCATATGCCATAAGCCGTAATTTTGTATTTTAATAGTTTGGTCCTAGACGAATAGAGAGATATAAAAGAAAGTTCTGTAATTATAAAACTTCACATACGGATTGTGTTAATCGAATATTTTTCAGCGATAAATTTCTGACATGTACACGTTTTTCTTGTAAATAAATTAATCCATAAAGAATTTGTTGAGTCCATTGTTGAATTTGCTCTACACTCAATAATTTCTTCTCATTTAACAACGATTCAAAACTTCGTTCATAATATTCACTCACAACCAATAATCGCTCTAGAAAAGAGAACTTCAACCATTTCTCCTCTTTCAATTCTATTTACCATGTGTGCCTTTTCGAATGTCAATGTACCGACAAAGATTGCAATGTTCGATTGTTTTCAAATATTGAAAACGTCCGATAATAACCGTTGAATTCGGTGTCAATGGCAAACCGTTTGTACCGCATTGATCATTTCCATGACTGCTAGCAACAAATGTATTTACACCTAAATGTTTATTATTATCAATCATATTCTATTCTAGAAGAAAAAAGATTCACATTGATAAATTAGAAAAATTTTATCGACAAAAATGTTTGTTGATTTATTGAAAATATCTGAATAAACATTCAATTCACTGTAAACGACATGGAGTAGCATTTCTAAGATCATTTTCAAATTGACGCGCGATTAATTCACTACGGATAGATAAAAGACGATCGACAATCTGATCTAATTTTGATTCTAATTTGTCGAGTTCATACAAATCTATTTTTTGTACAGTTTCCACAGACGGATCAGTTGAATCTAAGACGCAATTCAGCGTTTGTTCGATCAATTTTCTTAAAGCGAACTTACCTGACTTCGGTTTGTGATTGGACAATTGAAGCATTAAAACATCAGGACTGGATGTTGAATCATTGTTCAACATTTCGGACGAAAAGTCGAGAACAAGAAACAATTTGTCCATTGTTTCTTGAATACGATGTAATGCTTTTGAGAATTGTGCATTGTTTAATAAACGTTCATTCAATTGTTTTTGATCTTGTTCATTAACGAGTAAACGCACTCGAAAATCACTTAGTTCTTGACGATTCTTGAAAATCAATCAATAAATTACGATAGACAAGAAACTCTTGCTTTTACCTGTCGAAGAAGATTCGTCATTTCTTTGATTGTTTGTTCCTTTTTTGCTAAATCAATTGATAAGGATTCGACTGTATGGACATTCGTCTCGTTAAGATGTTGATCATGTTTTCGATTGGATTTTTCCTTGTTTAATTGTTCGTTCAATTGCTGAATTATCTTATTCAATTCTTCGAATTTCTTTTGTGTTTCAATTCTTTCATCGATTGTTAAACACTTGGCATTAAATATTGATTGATCGGACATAGATTCCTGAGATTTGATTGAAAATTGCTGTTGTTGCTCATCGATTCGACGTTGATATGTGACCAATTGCTTTTTCAATTGATTCTTTTCTTTTCGATATTCAGTGACGGTTTGATTCGATTGTTCTAATTGATCTTGAAGTATTCGATGAGATTGTTGAAGTTTTTCATATTCAATCTCCGATGGCAAACGATTCATATACGATTTGAGCAGATCATTTTCATCTTGTAGAATTTGTAATCGACGACGGAGATCATCGCGATCACTTTCAACGATGGTCAATTTCTGTTCGAGATTATTGAACTATACAAACGAAGATTCAGAGTGAGGATAACGTTTTCAATCGAAGTTTTACTTGAGCGACAGTCCGCTGGAGTTTATCATCGGCTTCTTGTTGATGTTCATTGAATTGTTCACGTAATTGTTCTAATTCATATTCACGTTTTCTTTTAGAAAGAGAAAAATGAGTTTTTAGGAATATTCGTTGAAATCCTACTGAAGAAGTTTTTCAAGAGCAACGGCACTTTCTTGGGATTCGTTATGAGTTGAAAACTAAGAATAAAAGACGAATTGAAATTTTGCGAAACAAAGAAAATTTCATTGTACTTGATCGTTTAATGAAGGAGTTTCTTCGTAAGAAAAATATCCGTTCGAGTTTTGTTGTTGTTCAAGAATGCTTATGTGTGTTTGGAGACTAAAGATTCGAAGGTAGGAATTAGTTGAACAGTTTCATTTCATTACCGATGAATTATCGTGTCCTTGTCATCATATGAAGTATGAAAATTCATCTGAAAACAAAATTTATCCTCCGAAAGTTTTGGCTTTTAGTAACAAGACAGTTATAGAGAGAAGAAAAAGAACAAAAAAACATGTCCACTGTACAAAAAAGAGAGAGAGAAGACTTTATTTCACAAGTAATACAGAACCAGATGGTCGTTTGCCGGGCCAAGCTTCTTTCGCATATTTCTTTTTCTTCGGTTCAAAACTGTCATTATTTGTGTTCGATGACGATGTTTCCAGTGCAGTTGGAGTTATTTTTAGAAGGAATGGTACTGCAGGTTCAGTTACATCATAATCACGAAGATCAGGTGCGAGATTTGGTAATGCTATTCCTGAAAGAACCACAGAGAAGATTCAAAATAAACAAAAGAATAAATGTCGGTAAAGAATTTTACCAAGTTTTGCTGCTACGCTTAGATGTTGAGCTTGTAAGGGATTTTGCGCTTCAGCTGATGTATCACTATGAATGGGATGACTTGCATCATAGAGTTGTGAATAGTGAAATTCTTGGGCATGTTTTTGAGTAGTGTCAAGACCGAGATGACTAACTGCTGGATGATCAAGTTTTCGTTTCTAAAAATATGTCGAGCAATTTTATACATTTCTCTGTTGCGTTGATATGAGACAGACCTTCGGTACAACGACAGTTGTCTGAACAAGATTGCGAAATCGACCAACATTTGGGTCGACATCCTCTATTAAAAAGAAACAAAAAAGAGTGGATTAAAACTTGATCTGATTTCTTTCTTCCAATGCATATACCTGGATTAATAACATCATCCTCTTCATTAAATGTAACATTTCGTCGTTTTCTCTTCACAGTTGGTACATTAGGTAAATCAGTTATTTGAACTATTTGTGCAATACGTCGATTATGAGCAGTGTTAAATTCTGTTAAATTCTACAAGAAAGAGAAAAGAAAATCTCTACTTGTACTCTATCAAATATCTTACATCAAGTTCGACTTCCGATTCTGGCATTGAAAATGAACTATTCGCATCACGATTCTCATCATTATGATCGCCATTTGCATCGCTACTTGAATTTAATGTATTGGCATTACTACCGAATATATGATGAAGTTTATTTCCTTGTATTTGTGGACGTTCACGAATAATGTAGATACGACTCGATTCGCCAAAGTGAATTTCACTATCGATATGTACTTGCTGTGGTTTATGACTGTCTAATTGAATGTGACCTATGAATGTTCCATGTGCTGCAAAGAAAAATATTTGATATTAATGGAAGAAGACAGTAAATTTTTTTTTACTTGATCCGAGATCGATTAAAAATGGTCGACTAAGTTCTTTGTGCCAAAGAAGTGCAGCATGAACTCGTGAACAGGATGCGTGATCAACTAAATAGAAAGCAATTTTATTCGTAAAACCACAAGTTAAACTCTAGTCTTACTCGTAAAATCACATAATTCTTTGTTTCGCCCAAAGAAGTAGCATTTTTTCTCATCAATCATCAATTTCTATGGTAGAAATAGGAATATTTTAAGTAATTATGCAAGAGAAATGTTCTAAATGTACCTGTATTAATCTGCCTTCTTTCACCACATCTAAATGTAAACCAGCTACAGGTTTCCCAGCCCTAAAAGAAAGATAATTTCTTGTACAATTGACGGAAAAATGCCTTTTAACTGACCATTTCGGAATTTCGAATGTATTTTTAGCTTGACTAGCCATCGTTTTTCCGTTTTATCCACGATCTCAAACACACTACTCAGATAAATAAATAAACAGTGGACTTTTCGTCCACAATTTTAAACCAATGAGAGTTAAGGATGATTCATCGGTATATGACAGACTAAAGAAACTAGAGAGAAAGAAAGAAATCGGTACAGTTACCTTTTATTACCACCCTCTATCGTATTCGGATATTGTACGATGAATGAAATGAAAAGAGGAAAATTTGATTCATTCATTCGAAGGAAATAAGTGTAACTGTCACCGAAATAAACCGATAAGACGTGTATTTAAGTCGTTCATCTCTTTCATCGACTCACGTATAAAAATGAGAATGTCTATGTGAATTTGGCAGATTGAGAAAATAGATGCGTGAGAATAGGATTTACACACTATAATTTCCATGTAGTGTAGCATCTTAATCAGATAGAATCAATAAATTGAGAAGATGCATAAAAATTGACTTGTGTTTGACTCATCTGTAACGTACATAGATAGGAAGGGCTTTTGTTGATGGATAAGCTTTCGATGAAAAGTTATGATCGAAATGGAGTTGAATATGATAGAAATTATTGAGTTTTAGTCTCTTCACTATTACTATGCGATTGATCTGTTGATAATATTTTCGGAGAACAAAGAGATGTTGAAAAGGAAGAAGAATTAATTACTATACAATAACTTCAATTATTTCATCAGTTTGTAAGGGATTTTTCATTTTTGCATTTTGGTACATGTTCAGCATCTGTAGGTAATACATAAATCACGTCAAAACAAATGTTTTGCTTACGATAATACCTATATCAGGAATGTTGGCACTGTACTCGCCTGAGAACTTGTGCTGTGTCAAAATATGAATGTGTTACATTCAGAATTTAGTTTTGTGTCGAATGCGGTAGGTTCGGAAGTGGATCATACGACAGAAAAAACCGTATCTTCTTCAACTTGAACATCTATCCGAAATATATCAATAGTTAATAGTGAACTCTACATCAACATGTTTAGACCAATCAAAAGCAGGAATGACTCATAAGCTTATGACAGACGAAACGAAGACCAACGATTGATAGAATTATGAAATTATAAATTATATGACGTGGTAGAAGATGAGCAACGTTTACAAGTTCGATAATCTCGAAGATCTCTTACAATGTATTATCTGTCTCGATCGATATCAAACACCCAAAGTTCTATCATGTCAACACACATTTTGTTTACGATGTTTGCAGGGTAACTTCATCAATTCTAAATCTTCATGTAATTCGTTTTTCTCTTTCTCTGTATAGGAATTTACGATAGTCGTCATCAAACATTAACTTGGTACGGTTCAAAGTTAAATTCTAAAAATGGAATACTTTGTTTTCGTTATTCTTTAGTCCAACATGTCGAAAGGTGATGCATTTAACTCGGGGACCAAACGAATTGCCTGGAAATATTTTGTTAACTAATTTGATGGACGTTCAACCAGTCAAAGCCAAATGTCCATGTTGTCACAAAATAGAAACGTTAACAATATGCGAACATTGTAACTCAACCAAATGTGCTAATTGTAATGAACAACATATTAATGACATAAGACAGTCTACTAGAACAACAATTGAAGAATTAAAGGATACAAGTGAAAATAATTTGAAAGGTTCGATATATTTAGCATAGTTTTTTCCTTAATAATTTATTTTTCATTTCTAGTGTCGATTCACGATGCTTTTAAAACAGTTCGTAATGAAATTTGTAGTCAATTTCAAAATATTCGTCAACATCACGATGCCATTCTGCTCAACAAACAATTAGACATCCTAAAACAACTGGAACTCCATGAAAGAAACTTATTAATGTAAGTTTCTACAGAATTCGCATTAACCACTATCGTTTCCACAAGATTAAAAAACAACTCTATTCAAATAGAAAAGTAATCATTGATATACATTTTGCACTGAAATAATTCGATAAGTTCAGACAGATAAATCTCCAATCTCATTTCATTAGATAATGATCAATCAAGAAAACTCATCATTGTGAGCAAAAGATTATTTTCCAGAGGTCACGTTTACTTTGTTATTATTAAACGGAAAAATCAAGTTTCCTTCTGCTTTCATCTATCAACATACTTGTTTGTCTATGGAATGTCAATATAATATTATTCATATTTGTCTGCTAGTGATGTCGAAAACGACCTTCAATCTTTGGAACAGTCACGAGCGGAATTAATAGAAAAAAACTATCACCTTGAAAGGTAAAATACGTTCATTCATCGTTGAATTGATCAAATAAAAGCTTTGATTTAGTAAAAACGAACCTGAACTAGTAGATTTGCTGACGAAAGCTTCAAATATTCAATCGCGTTTGGCAACGAAATTAGCCGAACATTACGCACATCTGAATGTACGTAGGGAGAAGCGATCAAATCCTTCGTCTAGAAATGCTTTTCTATATTTAGACTATTGAAGTAACTCTTCAGTATGATCCCGATCAAATTAATCAAATAAATCAACTATGTAATCACATGCAATTGAATGTCAGTTATACAACTGAACAGAAAGCATCTCAATCGACTAATGTACTTGTTCCATCCGAGTACGTATTTATTTTCTATCGAAAAAATAAAAATAAAACAAGTTTTTTCGTTTTTTACAAAAAAAACAAATTGAATAGATCAATATGTTTAACTCTACGAACATCTCTTAATCAAGAGTACAAATATCATATAGGATTGGATAAAACGATTTATGAATTAAAAGAAATGTTTGGCAAACAAGGAAATCTTCACGCCAATCAAATCGTATTAACAAAACCTGGCAACTTTTTCGATCAACTTGATGATAATCGAACGTTAAGATCGTACGATTGTGATTCGACAACTATTTTCATGATTAGTGTTCAAAAATAATGAATATTTAATCGACGTGTGCGAAAAACAGAAACAACACGATATGTTTTGGATAAAAACACTTTCTTGTAGTTTGTCTTTTCTGAGGAAAAAGAGGAGAAGGAAAAGAGAAGAAGGGAAGATTAAAGAGCCTCTTCTTGTTCTTCAATATTAGTTTTTCTATGCGTTCCACTTGATTTCGTTAGATGAATGACTTCAAGTATTGATGAATCATGATTCGTTCGATCAATTTCATTATTTGTTTTTCGTGTTGTTTTTTCCCGATAAGGTATTAAGTGGTAATAAAAATTCTTATGTTTACTCGTACTTGAATGATGATGATTCGATTCTGAGTTGTTATTATTGATATCATCCGCATGAATACGATCGTTCGTGGCTAGTCGTCTTTGTCGAACACGTTGAATATAGAGAAATAACGAGAAGAACAAAATTAAAAAGAGTAAGATACTTATGAGAATCATTAAAAGTAGAAGAACTGTCAGATGTGTGTGTACGAATTGTACAAAAGGTGAAATCTTTGAATTCGCGTATGGTAGTTTGATCATCGGAGATGTGTTTTTGATTGCTGATGATTGATTAGCAGTTATTAATGGAACATATGTGCGTAAACTTGGAGGATTTAAATCATCTGATACAAAACAAGATGAAGATGATAATGAACGAGAAGAGCATGTCCAAGAACGGCGAGGTGGTGGACCAGGTATTAATGGTGGTGGAGGCGGAAAATAACTTAAGTAAGTGAACATTGATGAAATATTTGCAGGGACATTGATTCCATGTAGAATATCGTATGATTTCGATGAATAGCTGCGATGCATTTCGATTAATCGTACTGCTGGTCTTATTGAGTCTTTTTAGTCTAGAATAAGTCGATAATCTATAATGTATCTATTTTGGAAAAAGAATTATCTATTAAATAAGGAGAATGACATTATCATGATGGTTGTGATTATCATCATTTTTATATATTGCTATTTGAGACGAATGAAGAGACATATAAATGTTAAAATGTATTGCTGTCGGCAGTCTTATCAGCAATATTATTGAATCGTTTGCGTCTGTCTCAATGTGCGTTTATATATATCTATATGTGTGCTTGTATATGCAAGAGAAGGACACATATACGATCCGTGGTCTCAATGGAATGGCAACGATGAAAGAGAGAGAGAGAGAGTTCCGAGTTGTTTCTCCCCCTCTGTCTTTTTGCCTTTTTTTCTTACTCGACATTATGATCGCATCCATCTATCAGCGTTGTGTTCGTCTCAAGAACAGAGCCAGATGGTGGTCGCATAGTATGTGTGTTCGGGCGACATTTTCCGTCGCAATGGATTCGAGTCTTCTGCTTTTTTTTTCTTTCTCTTATCTTCCGACAACCTAGATCATTTTCTTACTTATATTTATAGACATATATGTGTCGATGTTAGTAACAAATAAATAGAGAACAGCTTGCATACTCTATAATGATTTTGAT